GGAAGGTCGCAAGCGACTCCATCTCGTACATCATCTCCATGGCCTGAAGACGAGAGGACCGAAATCGTGAATCGCGAAACCCTCACTCATATGGATTCTATAGTGCGGGCTCTAGGGATCTACAGCGGTGCTAGAAAGGTTCCCCCAAAAAGGTGTTCGTTTACAAGCCCTCAAAAAATGGCAGGGCGTCGATTCCCTTGACACGCATAAGAATTGCAGACAGAGAAGGGTGCCTGTTGGTGAGTTACTAGAAGTTGCTGCGATCATCCTTGACCCTTGTTATGCACCTACATTTGCTGATCTCTAACCACAAGGTATAGCTTACTGAGGGGTCCTGATAACGAGGATGAGTGACTAGTGGCCGTCTTTGGGTCTTGTGTTTTCTGAAACACCCAAACCAAGAATCCCGAACTCCAGAGCTTAAGACCAAAAAACCTAACCTCAAATCCGAGCAGCATCATATCCATCCCTCTGCTTAAGATTTAGCACGAATCATATACGGGTTAGGGTTCTGAGATTTTGGGCTTGGGGATCAGAAAGGTCATCTGGGCCTCTGCTGTATGAAGGTGTGGTTTTCTGTCTTTACCGGTTGTCTTGTGGCAAGTGTCCTGTATAGGCTGAGATGTTGGTATTTGCGTGCGTCTGGTCTGGTGTTACGGTGTCTGGGTCCTCGTTCGTGTAACGGTATTTCAGACACTGGTTGAGTTGCTGAAAGGTGTCTGCGTGTGTGTGTGTGTGTGTGTGTGTGTGTGTGTGTGTGTGTGTGTGTGTGTGTGTGTGTGTGTGTGTGTGTGTGTGTGTGTGTGTGTGTGTGTGTGTGTGTGTGTGTGTGTGTGTGTGTGTGTGTGTGTGTGTGTGTGTGTGTGTGTGTGTGTGTGTGTGTGTGTGTGTGTGTGTGTGTGTGTGTGTGTGTGTGTGTGTGTGTGTGTGTGTGTGTGTGTGTGTGTGTGTGTGTGTGTGTGTGTGTGTGTGTGTGTGTGTGTGTGTGTGTGTGTGTGTGTGTGTGTGTGTGTGTGTGTGGTGTGTGTGTGTGTGTGTGTGTGTGTGTGTGTGTGTGGTGTGTGTGTGTGTGTGTGTGGGTGTGTGTGTGTGTGTGTGTGCGTGTGCGTGTGCGTGTGCGTGTGCGTGTGCGTGTGCGTGTGCGTGTGCGTGTGCGTGTGCGTGTGCGTGTGCGTGTGCGTGTGCGTGTGCGTGTGCGTGTGCGTGTGCGTGTGCGTGTGCGTGTGCGTGTGCGTGTGCGTGTGCGTGTGCGTGTGCGTGTGCGTGTGCGTGTGCGTGTGCGTGTGCGTGTGCGTGTGCGTGCGCGTGCGCGTGCGCGTGCGCGTGCGCGTGCGCGTGCGTGGTTTAGTTCGGAGTTGGTTTTAGGCCAATACACCTACGAGCTTTGAAGTTTCAGTATCCAGCTTTTGCGCGGAACCTAGCGGCTGAGCCACTCCCCTCCTGCGTGCTCTCGACTCTGAATCCTCGTATCTGCTGCAACTATGACAAGGAACCGCAAGAAACAGCAGTTCTAAACCGTAGGTCCCTCGAAGTGGGCGCAGGGATCAAGATTTAGGGCTTGGGGCTGAAGTGTGGTGCCAGACAAGCGCTTACGTAGGGTTGGGAGATGAATTGTTGAAGGCTCAACATATCGGCTTCTCTTGCGAGCTCCCAAAAACAGAAACAGCAGAACGTCTTGGCGGATTCCATACAAGAGGGCAGGTTTCAATCGTTGCGATGTTCACGTGGCTATTTGACTCCAACAGTATAGAAACGTCAAAGCTGAAATGTAGTATGTGACGAAGGAGGATCTCTCTCTACCGTCTCCACCCCATCCCAACACATGGCGACCCATGCTTCAAACTCGAAATCCCCACAGTCAAAAACTTTTCAACATTTTAAAACCCTGAACCCGAAAACCCGTAAATGTCAACCCCAAGAACTCGAAGAACCACCCATTGAGAATCTTTGTGTAGGGAGGACGACTTGGCAGCAAGCACGACATTACGAGCTCTTGGACTCTTGGTCCAATGCCATGTGACAGATGCTCGGTGTAGCTCCGCAACCCTAAACCCGAAGCACGAGAAAAGTGCAACCCTAAACCCGCTGTAGCCTCCACGTCTCGGCTCTGCTTCATGCGAACCTGGCACAAAAGAAAAGCTGTACTTCGAGGTTCGGGGCACTTAGCAAGTAGGGATTATGATTCGGATTTTCTCGATTAAGGTGCTTCTTACCCCAAATATGAACAACCTATTAAATCCAAATATGATCCTAAGAGCTCAACAAAGACCCTATGGAACCCAAGGTCCGAATCCTTCTAAGAATGCCCCTTTGAGTTCAGGGTTTCGGACTGAGGACGGTTGCTTGTTTATTGTTCGAGTTAGGGATTAGGGTTCAGAGCTTGGGGTTTAGGGTTTAGGGTTGCTGCAGCTGATTTTCAGCGAATGGCACACACAAAGTTCGGGTCAAACATGTTTTCAAGCATGAGGGCTCCCTTATTGGTGATCCTGCTGATCAGGACCTGGTCATGTACCGATGAGAGCCGTATGAAAACCTGATCATGTAGTACTAAACTAAACTCTAGACTCTAAACACCTAAACCTCAAAACCAACACATGAACTACCCTAGTAACTTCCTTCCCGAAAACCCTTCGAAACCCGAAACCGTGACAAAACCGCCACAAAACCCGCAAAGACAACACGTTCTGAGACCTTACTTGGAGGTTCATGGGTCGTTATAAGTGGAATTACAAGTCCCCTAATATAGGTTAGAAATATAGTTACCCTACTTCTACCCCCACTTATAACTACCCATGAACCTCCAAGTAGGCGAAACTCGAAGAGCCTGGGACATGTGGTTAAGGTACTTAACCTGCCAAGCGCCACTCCTTCCCACCGCGAAGGATCAGGGCTTTGGGGCTTTCAATATTTTGGGGGTCTGGGAGTTCGGGTCTGGAAAGTTGATGTTGTGGATTTCGGGCTGGAGGATCAGGACTCCAAGCTTTGTGTTTGGGGGGATTTCGATTTGAAGGGGGCTTTGCAGTTGAGGGTGTTGGGAATTTCGTGTCTACATGTAGCATTACAAGGACAATGCTACACCAAACTAGGGCAAAGGAAGAACAGACAGTACGCCGGTGGCCACCGCGAAACTTCCTCATGGTTGCTCCGGCCCCTTCTAAGCAGGGCCAGTCCTCAATTCGGCATTGCGGGTGCAACGAAGAAGGACGGCCTGCCAGAAGACATGACCCAAGACAAAATTCGGAGCTGCCGCTTGGGTTTCGCCATTTCGCACTGCTAGTCAAGAAAAGCTTAGTTCACTCCAGAAGTGAAGTTTAGAGGTGAACGACAAACCTGACAACTTTCACCGAATTCAACCTGGGCTCCGGATAACTGACAGAACGGAAGGGCTGCAAGAAGTCACGTATAATCCAAAAGATAGTATCGAAAATATTGCAGCAAGCAATACAGCGTAATGCAAATTAGTATGATAGTATTCTGATATTAAGAATATGATACGGTAAAAAATGCAGACTTGGACAGAATGCAACACATAACACCATACAACATGATATCCCATGAATGTACCACCATAATAATATACTAGAACATGCCGTAATGTATCGAAAGACCATCAGAATTGGACATAAGATGAATCCACTACAACACCCGCGATTACGGCACAGGGCTTTCTACTCGTGGGTTTGGATTTCCTTGGCTAGTATAGGAGCCTTAATAATTAGAATAGCATTTTGGGGCCCACTATACTATAGTTATAATAAGGAAACCCCAAAATAGTATAGGTAATTATTAAGGCCTCTGCATTCGGTGTAGGAGCAGGCGCTTACGTTTGGGCCCAGGGGCATCGCTTTCTGCTTGGAAGGACGTCAGTCAGAGGATTACTCTGCGAACGACGCATCGTAGCAGTGGTGGTGGCGGCGGTGGTGGTGGTGGTTGTAGTCGTAGTAGTCGTCGTCGTCGTAGTGACCAGTAGTAGCAGAAGCAGGAGCAGGGGAGGAGAGTGAAGCTGAAAGTTGGAGAGCATGCAAAAACGGATGGCGATGCTTTAATGCTGACCAGAACTTATGCTGCTGCTCAGGCGGAAGAAACTTCAGCTGTGTTTATCGTGGCCAATCTAGATAGCAGTGCTGCGTGTTGCATACGATACCGCCAGTGACTTTGATCATTTCCGGATTTATGCTGTGGAGCTTGCTACGAATGATGCCAGCCACAGTGAACTACCATTTTGAAACAATGACAATACTTGCAGTGATGCATGTGACACTGATGGCGGAATTTCTAGAATGCTTGCGTTGACACCGAAACAACCGGGGTGCGAAGCAATCACAACGACAGCAGGAGTTCGATGAGGAACACAGCCGCATTAGCATCATCAACAGCAAAAGAGAAAGATCTTTTGCTTGGAAAAATCAAGTGTAAGTTGGCTTTGTTACCTGGCCCTTCGGCCCTAAGCCCTACACTCCTGCACCTTCAAGCCCAAGCCGCCCAAGCCCTCAAATGCTCCCGATCTGCATTGCTTGCCTCGGCTTTGTCCAATTTGTAATTCTTCTTGTACCTCGCAAGCGAATCCAACCGTGCTGGGGTTCACGTTGAAAGATAGTTTTAAGCTTTGAGGTATGGGTGTGGGGTTTAGGGTTAGGGTCTGGGCTGCTGATGTACATGTAGCAGGTTAGAAACATGGCTGTGTAACTTTCGTCGCCACGACGAGGGTAAAGGTCATGATGACGACGAGGACGGTGTTGAAAGCGCTAATACATGCACGCCTGCTTCAAAGATGGCCATGGCTATGGTGATGGTAGAGACAAAGGAGAAGATGGAGATGGAGATAACGAGGAAGAGGATGAGGACGACGATGACGATGACGCCGATGACGACGGCGATGGTGACGCTGATGATGGAGAAGAAGAAAACGAAGATAATGATGTCCGTGCGTCTGAAATGTTATGAAAAAGCCAACAGCATCTGCAAGACAGGGTCTTTGCCTTTTGGGCCTTTTGGTGATATCAGGCGGTTACGTCTGCTACAGTCATCTTCATAACACGAATAGCCTCCTCGACTTGCAGTCGGAGCTTGAGATCAACATGTCCACCGCCCAGCCAGAACTGACCAGAAGGGAGCTTCGTAATCGCATCACTAAGTATCATGGGCAGATCCTGCTTCAACGGGGTGACGGCATTATGACCGCAGCCGGTTATTGCTTGACACGCAGCTCCTTCAAGCAAACGCATGTTGTACTGCTTCTTACCCAGAGCTGGCAATCCCCTCTCTGCTTCCATGGCCTGTACGACCTTGATTAACTTCTCCTTGTGAAGCTTTGCCACATATTGAACAACCACCAGCACAGATCGGACGCGTCCATCAGCATCGCCTTCAAGCTTTGTGTTCTCCATCACGACACTTTTGCACAGCTCCTCAACACTGCTCGCTCCGAGTCGATCACGCCTCCACTCCAGCGACTGCTCATAGTAAGGCGGATGCGGGTCAACAGGTAGGAGCGCAGCAGTCAGACCGAGCTCAGCCACCGCTTCCTCCATCCGGGCCTTGACGTGCTCCAGGCTTTCCGCATCCAGGTCTGGCCCTGCCGGCCCTGGCCGAGCCTCCCGAATCTCTGCAGGGCTGTCCCGGGTGGGTCCAGAAGGTGCCGTGCCGCCGCTCTGGCCTCCATGAGCAGGAGGCGCAGGAAAGGCACGCAGCTGAATCGGGCACGTGCTCTGCAATGGAAGTCCAAGACGACGCAGGGCTTCCGAGGACTCGGCCATGGTGGGAAAGGCCCGGAGTGGCTGCTGAGAGCTTGGGAGGGCTGTGGAAGGCATTGCACACTGACAGCAAGACAAGCGTTACTGCTGCCTGCCTGCTGCTGCTACTGCTGCTACTGCTGCTGCTGCTACTGCTACTGCTGCTGCTACTGCTGCTGCTACCTACTATTACTCTGATTTCTCCAATTACTACTAGTACCCTGACTAAGTTTGTCACTATTTCGTACTACTACGACGATCGATACGATTTTGATTTTCCTTCACTGCGAGAGACTCTGCGTTCCTCGCAGGTGAAACGCAACTCGTGGAATCCCAACTTTGGGGTGCCACCGCGCCACTGACTGAAACTTCCAAGTGGAGGTGGAAGCCGTCGATGTAGAGTGTAGAGTATGGGATTTAAGCTGGCGTCACGGCTTATGTGCTGACGGCTTCGAAGACTCAGTTCTGGGTTTGGGGGTATAGTGAGCATGAGGCTAAGGATCGTGGAGGTAAGCATGGCAGAAACTGCTGGCGATCCTCTCGGCTGTTCTTTCAGGGAAAACGGCGACCCCCACATGGAAAGTGCCCGATCCATGCTGCAAGCAGATCGCAGCGAACATGACGGGAATAAGGGTGAGACCTGTCTCTCTTTGGCAACCCTGCTTGAAGGATCATGGGACTTAGTAAGTCGGATCGATTTGGGAGGTAGAAGTACCTAGTTCGAGACATGCGAACTATATCCTTGATAGGATTTGGGAATATATGACATTATACTGAATATATGGGTATACTATCAGTCGTTTTTCCGCCGCTAATCAAGGGCTTCGGAGTATAAACCGGAGACCAGGGCATCAACCCCAAGCTCTTAAGCCCTCAATGACCCCTTTAAGCCCTAAACACTGAAACCCAGAAACCCTAAGCCCCGAACACCCAGAAAGATATCCTCAGAAACCGCCCCTCAACCCTGGCTTGAGCCTTTTTGGGTGTGGCAGCTCTTCGGGGGGGTCGGACTCGCTGGGCCTCGGTGTCGCCAAAGTAATGCCTCCGGCTGCGCTACGGCAGCCGAGGGATGGAGAAATGAATTCCTTGTGACGAAGCCGCAAAAGATCTGGGGCTGAGGGCCTTTGGTTTAGACTTCAGGGCCCCCGGGACCCTGCTTAAGAACCCCGAACCGAACCCTAAACACCGAATCTATCGACCCGAAGCAGGTTAAGAGGTCTGGGCTCACAAAAGCTCACACAACCACTATTCTTTGCGGCTCCGCAACTCTCTGCCATACACGGCCCGGCAGAACCCCTGCAGAGACCTGCAAGATGCACCACTGCGGCATGGATCTTGAAGGCCGGAACCCTCGACACTTCCTTCCTCGAAGCTGTACAACCCTATGTCCTGAACATCAAGCCGAAACCTTAAAGCCCTAAACCCAGAAGCCTGAACCGTAAACCTAAAGTGCATCTTGCAAAAAGCTCTCTTACAGAGGGCTCGCATGGCATCGAAAAAGTCCACCTGACCAGGGCGATTGGAATATCTCCAGGGCTCCAGCTTGAGGGGCCCAGCCTAGCCTAAAAGCTTGAAGCCGCAAGGATCTGCAGCAAAAAAAGGTTTCCTTCTTATGGTAACTTAAAATAGCTATCTCCCTTAAGAAGAACCCAGATTTAATGGGTCCGGGCTGGCGAATCTGGGGAGGGTTCATGGTTTTGGGGCGTGGGGCTCGGGGCTAAAACTGCCTGCAAAAAAAAGTCCGATACAAACCAAATGGAACATCATAAACACATACAACAAGCACGCCATGAAACGCTCGCAAAAAAATGCCAGCCATAACTCCCTTCTAAATCCCAGTAGAATCATAAGACCCTACCCTCAGTTTGAAAGGCACTGCCGATATTGCTTTCATCCTTCGGCGACCTCTTCGTGTCGACTCCTGGCCCCTCCCAGAAGCCGGGCCCCGCACGAAGTGAGGATCGGCGGGGCAATTTTGCCTCGGGCTTAGGGGTTTGGGTTTAGGGGTTTAGGGTGTAGGCTTGCATAGAGCCTTGCATCGTATCACATAGGTTTTCTTCAGACGGGGCTTCATTACGGGCGTTCGTGGGCTTTCCAAGGCTTCGTGATTGTTCAACGGGTTCGAGACATGGGCTTGCAGTTTATTAGGGCTTAAGGCATGGCATTTAGGACTTCGATGCCATACCCTAAATAAAGCCCTTGCTGTCAGAAGGAGTATAGTGTTAATCAGCGGTCTACATCATACACCCGGTAAACCCCTAGATAAACACACAAGATGAACACACAAAACACCTGTGACAGTGTCAAACTCTTGTAAACTCCTGCGTGTAGTGGTTTAGGGGCTCAAGCTGTAGGGCTGTGCCAGGTGCCGAATATGACGTCCTGATGGGTTGCACGCCGATCCTGTTAACAGGTTGATCCCAGGATTTAAGACTCTACAACAGCACGATGGAAATTTGACATCTTCGAGGCGGCCTGTGTCGGCGTATGTCTGCCTGCGTGTCTATGTGTACGTATAATATTTGTATATGCCTGCATATGTATATATACTGTCATGACATGGGAGGTAAATACTGTACTGCAGATACGTATGTACGTATATATGACACGCATGCATGCATGCAGACAGACCGCGACCGACAGACAGATAGACATGCGTTTGAAGTTCGTTGAACTATGTTAGCGGTTGTACAGCAATCATCTTGTCCATGGAAACAAGGATAGAAGGAGAGCACCTGCCCACTGTTCGGTGTTACAGATGCACAGTTTAAAGTTTAGTGATACCCCCAGCTGCTGCAAGCAATGCCTTGCAGTCGTTGTAAGACGACAATACACCACCACGACACATGTTAAGATACGCTCAACACCTTCAATAACGGCCATTGCAACCCCAAGACCTGAAGCCCCCATGTCCTCAACCCCTGAACCCGAAAACCTACAGCCTATATCCCAAACGCCTCAGAACCCTCAACCCCAAATCCAACCCCACCCCACCCCCACCCAAGCGTTGCCGCCAGTGCCAGCAAGCGGCGCCTGCCATGCCGTTACACGTCCGAGCCGAGAACTGCCTCTCCCCGGCCGGGCCCCGCAAAGGCGAAGTCTGGGGCTGGTGACTTAATATAGAATAGGGGTTCCTTTAAAGGGGTTCCTTAACAGGGTTCTATATCTATAAGGGATCTATAAGGGTACTATTCTACTGAGTTGCCCTTTAAGCCCTCTGGTTCTCTACAAACTAGTAGGGAAAATCAAAACAAATCCCAAAGGACAACCCAGATTAGGCTTTCAAGGTCTCAGGTTTAGGGCTTGGCATCCAGGGTTTTCAGGGTGCGATGGGGGTAAAGCAAGCGAAGTCTGAGGGGCTGCAAACCTCTTGTGTGAACTCGTTGCAAGGGTGTTGGCAGTGCTAAACGGTTTACAGGCATTTCAAGGACTAGGGCTAGGCCTGAGCACGCGCGTCGGGAACCTGACCAGGAGGCCAAACGGTTCTTGCAGGCAAGTTTACCGGGAAGACGCCTAGACCCTCAACCTTCAGCCTCAAAACCCTTTTATAGCACATTCCGAATCCCTTTCACCCCTATCCACCACCCTAAATCCTAAACCCGAAACCCCAGAACCCTTCATAAAGCCTCGGAGGCTGTGGGCCCTGAGCCCCGCAGGATTCAGAGTTTTAGGTGAGGCTTTTGGGTTTTGGGGTGTCCGGCGTTCCTTTCGTTTAGGGCCTTGGGGCTTTGGTGGGGTGCAGGATATGAAACGCTGAGCGAGTGTGTCGTTCGCCCTGAACCCTAAACCTAAAAGAAGACCTGAAACGCAAATCCGAGAAAACTACCCCGAAGCTCCGAAGCGCCTAGGGCAACATTCGTCTGAGTGCTCGCTCGTAGTACCAAGGGATGTGCTGCACCGACCTTGGGGGGGGGTGCAGACTCTCGGTATTCAGGCCTCCGGCCTATGCACTCTCAGGGCTATCTCTATAAATATATGTATATATATATAACATAATAAATAGATGTGTACATATATATATATATATATATATATATATATATACTTATGTGTGTATATATATATATATGTATATATACCTGCGTCTTTGCATGTGGAACAGAGCTCTGCATGATTGATGCTCTACGATCACTTTTGCAAATCCCTCAGCGCTGTCTTGCCGTGTTGGCCCACCGAGGTCTCGACTTCTTGGCAGCCAGCTCCGTCATTCGCTCCGGCAGATCCTGCTTTAGGACCTTGGCTGCAGAGCATGCCACAGCTCTCCAGCATCTGCTGCGCGGTACAGAAACCAGGCTGCAACTTCCCTTGCTAGGGCCCGGGCTCTGTCGATCAAAGCATTTCGCTTCACTGACTTTCTCTGCGCCTGACACGGGATGGCCCAGAGATGCTAAACAATCGTTCTCAAGCAAGCGTAAAGCCGAGGGTAATAGAATTCTGACTGGTCCCAGCCAATGTCACCACCAACAGTCGCAGCAGTAGAACAAGTAGTCGTCGTAGGAGTACGAGTAGGAGCAAGAGTAGGAGAAGGAGACGGAGTAGGACCGTCGTCGTAACCGTTGTCATCCTCTCCATCGTCACCACCACCACCACCACCACCACCACCGCCATCGCATCGACATCTGCAATCATCACCCATCACTCAATGCTTCTACCCTCAACAGCTTTCTGATCAAGAGCGGGATCACAGCCACGTCAATCCTCATATCCCCTCTTCTTCTGAGAAAGACGACCGAGGCGAAAAAACAACAGGTAGCGATAGCAGCCTTGACAACGGTTGCAGCACGAGCAGTGGAGCACAGAATGACAGCTCAGGCCCTGAACCCGACACCTCCAACCCAAAACTAAAATCCGACATCCGTGACCCAAACACACTTCAGCCTAAGGCCCTAAACCTTGCAACCCTCTTGATTGAAACCCCAGAGAGAACTCAACCCAACACCCAGCATAACAGCGGAAGAAGCTGACCTCGAGCACCATGGAGGCGCCAACCGTTCGGATCAGGGCACTTTGCATGAAGAAGTACTCGGTGTCCTTAGGCGTACAGGTTTAGGGCTTTAGTTTTCAGGGCTTTGAATGATTCAGGGTTCTATAGGGCTCACGAGGCTATGAAGCACTATTGCAGGCCATCGAAGGCTTCGTTGAGGCTGTCTTAAGCTTTTCTGAGGGCCTCTTACGAGCATCGTCGTAAGGGGTCCATGTATGAGTACCATAGTTGTCATCGCCGTCGTCACAGTAGCAGTAGCACTAACACTGGCTTACAGTGACAGTAACGGTAACTGTCGTCGTCGTCACTGGGTGATGGTAGTGGTGCCAGTGGTGCTGGTGGTGCTGGTGGCGGTGGTGGTGGGAGCAGGAGCAGGGAGCCTTGGCAGGAGTAGTCATCTCCTGTTCTGCGCAAGATGGGTTAATCCAAATCCCACAGCAACATGGAGGTCCGAAACCCCAATGAGAACTCTCGGGGCTTTGGCGATTCTACACCTTTCACACTCTTGAACCTCAAACCCTAAGCCCGTGAATAGCAACCTTGGCTTACGATAAAGAGCCCTAAACAGCCCCATGAAACTCTGTGTAAAGCCCAACCAAAACAAACCTTCAAACCCTCAAGAATCCGACCTCGCGGCCCTAAACCCTACACCGTTCCTAAACCCCTAAAGCCATAAAGACCCTAAACCCCTAAACCTGAAACCCCTAAACCCGAAAGACCGTAAAGACCCTAAACCCCTGGAGTCTGCTCTCCAGGCCCAGCTGCCCCGAAGTTATTGTCGCTGCCGGCACTCCGAGGGCTCTCCCTCGGGGGAGGCACCTGCAGGAAAAGGGGCGTAAATTGAATGTTCCTACAGAGGCTTACTTAGAAGGACGGTAAAGGTTGCTAAAAAAAGGATTCTAGAAGGGTTGCTCTAAGGGATACTGTAAGGGCTTACAGGCTTCCATAAAGGTTCTTTTGCTGGGGTTCTACTATAAAGGTTTATCAGGATTTAGAGCTTGTGGGGTATCAGGCTTTGATTGTTTAGGGTTTGGGGTTCAGGGGTCTGGGTGTGGCTTAGCGTCAAGAGAGGCTACACGGCTTTGGGGCTGCTGTTGACCATCTACACCACTGAACAGCTGGTCCATGTGAGGCCTGGCCCTCCCTAGCCCGCGGAGGTTCCCAGACGATCAGCGAAGCATTTAGGACCCGTTTCAGGATTTAAGACATACATCCGACACGAAAGTGGTAATTTAGCCAGCTTCACGAACGGCCGTCTCAGACTGTGCGCCTACAACTGTTATACCAAGTGCATGTCCGAAGTTCGCAGCCAAGGTGCCTTGTCTATGAAGCCTCTGGACACCAATTTTCTGGTTGCTCTGAAGAGGCGCAACCTCAGTGTTGTGCCGCTGTCAGGGCTGTGTGGCTTGGCCAATGCTTCTCGTAACTTTGATGCCTTTGCTGGCTCCAGGTGCTTCAGTTCCTGCTACAATCCGAGCAGCCATGATGCGGTTACAGGTCTTGCAACTGCCTTTGAAACACACAGGCCGTCCGGCCAAGCTCTCCAGTCTAGGTGGTGATGTTGCACAGAGTGCCATTTGCTGCTCAGCAACATCCCCATGCAAACTGAGAACCCTACTAGTGCTTCTAAAGCCGTGCCTGCTTAGGGATGATTCCGAGTGTGACTGCTGTGGTTTGCCGTTGGACAGCATTGTTAATCTGAGTTTTTCTCTGTACCAGCAAGAGCACCAGCCCGAGGTAGAGGAGTAGAAGCAGTATTCTCGTGATCGACATGGGTTTTCGAAGTACCCTGCTTTATGGCCACTTTTCTACAGCCACGAACATCACCTTTGTGTGTGGCATGTCTGTTTGGCACGTAGCGATGGTGCTACCACCACAGCAACATAGGGGCCTTGGCAATTAGAACAGGGGCAATGAGGGAATACCGTTATAAATTATTCAGACGTCTGCGTTGTGTCTGTGACTACTGGTTGCCAGTGACCCGTGGGTCAACCATTGCTTCTCTTGCTACTCGCACCCAAGACAGGTCCCCGTAAGCCCGTAAACCCGAAGCCTACACCTCCCAAAACCCTAAAATCCCAAATCCTAATATAGGGGATTTATTATACCATAGTTATAAGAAGGGGCCCCCAAAAATGGTACTGGTACTGGGGGTCATTATGTAAGCCCCTATACCCTGAACCCTCAACCCAGCGGACCGAGCCGGAGCCCCCAAGGCGGAGGCAAGTCAAAGTGCGTCGACCCACCCCATTGCGAGCAGTTGCCTCAAAGTCAAGAGCTTGGGGGGCTCAGGGGTTGAAGTTCAGGGGTTTTGGGTTTCGGGGATTTGGGGGGTTCAGGGGCCTCAGGGCTTCTGGTTTAGGGGTTAAGGTTTATGGGCTGGACCGGGGCTGGAGGGCAGGGTACTGGAAAATCTTCCTCGCTTGCGGCCTGCTCGGCATAGCATCAAGAACCGTGCCGGGAGGACGGCCAATCGCAACAATGAGAACAATGTGGAGGACCAGATCCTGATCACCCTGTAGACCAAGCCGTAGAGCCCCTTTCTTTGAGTTACGCCTAAAAGGTCTTATAGAAAAACTACAAGAACTAGTATACAATCCCGGTAATAAACCACAATACCATAAAGCCCTAAACCCTAAACTCTCCAAACCCTTGTAATAACCCGTAAGGGAACCGTTAAAGGAGCCCTGAGCGCCCGTATGACCGTTCTGCTTGCTCATACACTGTAAACCTAAGCCTCAAACCTAAACCATAGACCCTAAACTCTAAACCTCCAAGCCCGCAAGCGCTAGCTTCTGAGGGCCCGTCTTGCTGCCAGATCTGGAAGCGTGAACGGCCCTTCGAAGCAAGTGGACATCTTCAAGGCCGCCATCTGCCGAGCAAAAGCGGGCTTCTTAAGGGGGTTAGCGGGTGCGGCAGGTACCATTATCACTCTCACCACGGCTTCTGCAATTTCGACACAGACAATGACAACTCATGTGATCCGGAGCTGTCAAGTTCTTCTTAACACCGAGGGGGACAGCAGCAATATCATGGTCATGCATGCTATCTATACAGGGTTTTAAGTAAACTCCCAATCATAAGAGCTCTTTTGAATCTCTCAACACCGCAAACGGGAGAACCACCAAAAGCAGATGTTCCTCGGGTGAGCCAACACCGAAGCCGGAAACCCCGAAACCGCACTCCCCAAAACCCCAACCTCCGAACACCTAAACCCTAGACCAGAGACGAAAAAGCACGTCATAGAATTTCGGGAAATCTCTCGCAGTTTAAAATACTAAACGATGGACTGTGAAGGGATCTTCTTACAAAAACGTTCAGACCTCAAGCCGCGAACTGCAAAACCCTAAACCCCAAAACCCTGAACCCTGAACATGAAACCTACCCTTCACCCTAAAATCTAAAACCCCTACACTCGAGACCCCTACCTTATGTCATGCGCCATACAAAACCCTACTACATGCTTCTAGACACCCTTGCGAAGTCCCGCAAAAACCCTCATTTGTGATGTGCCTCGATTGGGTCCAGGGACTCGATGTTACAGACAGTTCCTCCCACCATGGCAGTGTGGTTCCAGGCCTTGGTGTGGGTTGTAGGGTAGGGCCGAGGCGAGGACAGGACTTTCAGGCTTAAGGGGTTTAGGGTTCTGGGTCATTGAGCTTTGTGGTTTGGTTTTTGGCCTTTAGGATCAGGATTTTGGGGTCTGGGGTTTAGGATTTGGCCTCAGGGCTTCGACGACCGGGAAAGGGCGAGAGATGACCTGGACATCTTGATCAGCACGGTTTCCTGATCAAACCGGAGCCTCAGCAGTGCTGTTTCACAAGTACACTTGCTAGCTCTTGCTCTGCGTTTGGTTTTAGCACTGCTGATACGGTAAACAGCAGCTATCAAGCGTCACAACAGCGAGACCACCGTGGCCAACACCACGACGACCACTACTGAGACTATCACTACCACGATCACCACCACCGGTATCATTGCCACCGCTGGCAGCGAGCAAGTTTTTCGCTTCCAAAGCAGGATCGCAGCTTCTTGGCTGATCAAGACGGTCTGAAAGCATCAGGCACCATCAGGAAGTACGGAAGGAAACTTGGACTACTACCACCTTCCACCTTGCGATCTGCATGACACAGGAACTTCCACACAGAAGCACTGTAGATGGTTTTCACAGGTATACTCCTCACGCGGAGCTTCCAGGATCTTGCACGACTTCAAGGCCAAGAAATTCGGGCTCTTCATTCATACAGTCGCTACCATTTCTTGAAACCTCCAAAAACCACAACCACCCCGGGACCCTAAACCCTAAACCCTGGGGGCCCGGACAGAGATGTCTATTTTTTCGAGCGCCCCGATCAAGGTCGCTGACGTACCAGGCTTCACCTGCGACGGCTGCTCATGGGATTCTGGGGGTCCTGGGGGTTTTCGGGGGTTCCTTAAAGGGGACGACAAGGGTTACCGTAAGGGGTCTATAAGGGTACTGCAATATAGGGGCCAAAACTAATTGCCAATACTATTTTGGGCGCGTTGCTTATTGTGATTTTCATATATTATGCCCCAAAAACCCTCTTCTAATTCTTAAGGTCCCCATGTAAAGGGGGATTTGTAAGGGCGGCAAGATATAGGTTTTGCACAGGGGTCCGAAGTTGATGCTGGTGCAACAGTATTGGTACTTATTTTGGCCCCTATATTATAGTACCCTTATATTATAGATCCCTTATAGTAACCCTTATAGTCCCGATTGAAAACACAGAGCAAACTCAGCCACTTCGCTCGGCTAGCGGCTCCGACTTTCACGAAACAGTGCCGAAGCAGTTGGAAACCTCTAGCTAGTCAGGGAATCTCCAATGCGACACCAACCCTTTCCCTTCTCTAACTAAACCCACATCTCCAAACCTCACGACCCTCAAACCGAAAATCTAAGCCCATGACTCGCATGAACCCGTAAGGTCAAAAAAAACCTACAAGCCTGCAAATCAGAAAGCATCCGAAAGGCTGAGGACGCTTTTGCCTAGAACGAAAAACGAAGTCAAGTATCTTTGAGAGATGTGTAAGATGCACGGTCGGATCAACATGGCGCATCCCCTGCACGCTTGCGATAGGAGCAGGTCATCATCTTCGCTGCACCATCATGACGGCGTACCATCATCATCATCAGCCTAATCGTCGTCATGGTCATCACCCGCGTCACATCACATCACATCATACGTCCAAAATCCGAGCCGGACGTCATCGCCTGATCCCCTGCCACCCGACGACACATAAGGAAGTTCGACAGGAGAGCACAAGACCATCCGTAACCCTAAGCCGACATGGGAAGTTCCGACCGAGCGTCTCCCCGAATGGCACTAGAACCCGACCTAAACTTGACCTCAACAACCCCTAAAGCCCCAGAACCCTAAGACACCAAAGCCCTAAACCCTAAAACCCCATGTCGATGTGCCTTGAGGACGTTTTCCTCGCTGAGCTGGTCCAAGGTTTCACGGATGTAGAGCGGGTTGCCCATGGTTACCTGGCTTAGGCTTTAGGGCCCTAGCGTACCCGGATTTCGGGTAATCTCTGAGATTGCATAAGTAGACCACTACACTGTTGCTACAGCGACTCCCAGAATTCCGCTTCGCTGCTGCGGTCGTCGTCGACATCCCCACAGCAACAGCCATCGCCACTGTCCCCGCCTCCGCGGCGGCTGCCGCCGTCGTCGTCGTAGCAGAAGCAGGAAGCAGCACAAGCACCAGCGGCAGAGGTAGCGACAGCAGCTGCAGCAGCATCGCAGCAGTCGAGGGCAGCGCAGGAGGTAGCAATAGCTGGATCAGCACCATCCACATGAGTAGTAGCTGTGCAATCGCAACTTACCGCATTGAAGACTTTCCGCATGACTGTGTGACCGAGTTACTCTCATAGTGGGCTTACCATGACTTTGCCTTAAGGGCGGGTTTCGGTTTCTCAATTAAGGTTGTTGTGGTTGGTGTCGGCTGGCTTTCTCCCAGCCCTGCCTGTGAAACGAAACGTCTCAGCGGCGGTGGCACGGCTTCCTCTGGGATGCCCAGGTAGTTGGCCATGTACTCAAGGATATGCTCTTCCTGGTTCGAAGGCTTTAGGTTTTTATTCAGATCGGGGCTTGGAGATTGGGTTTCTGCTTGCAGGAGCTTCGGATTCAAAGCCGGGAAGTTGAATGCAAGTTAAGGATGCCTCGCGCAATGGACATCCCCGCCATATCGATTCGTGTCACAGTCGTCACATGGAAACCCACATGACCAAGGAAGGGAGGGAGTTTAGAGTCGGAGGAGACCCAAGCTTGCTTCACGGTTTAGGGTTAAGAGGGTCTACTCTGCCAGCCAAGAGTCATTGAGGCCCTTGAGAGTCAGCAAGGTCCCGGCTGCAGCGGCGTCTTTGACACACTGCTGGTCGTACCGTGCCTGCACAAAACTGTCTGCTGAAACCTTCATGATACCAGGACTCGAGAAGTACCTCACGATTACTTCACCGCTGGTTGCAGTTGCTGCAGTTGCGGTAGCTCTTGTACTTCCTGCACCCCAAACATACCCAAGTTATCAACCCTAAAGCCCCAGTCAAAGTAAAGAACCTAAACTCCCCAAACTCCCTAAAAACTTTAAAACCCAAAAACTCCCCAAACTCCCTAAACTCCTTACTAAACTCCCTAAACGCCCTACAGTAAAGCGCTTAAAACCCCTAAACCCTTCTCTAAGCGCGCACCAAAGAAGATGGGGCCTCTCGTACAAGCACCAGGCCGCTGATCGACCTCTCCTGCGGCGAACTGAGCTGTGTGCCTTTTTCGGGTACTATAGGGTTCTATAATCGGGTTCCTTCAAGGGAAGGAGTCAGTCTATAATGGGAGGATCATGGGACTTAGTAATTATGGTTATAAGTACCTTAAGAGGGGTTATAAGTAATTATAAGCCTTAATTATAACTTAACCCTAGTTACTAAGTCCCATGATCCTTGAAGTGGTGATCTGTTGAGGGTTACTTTAAGGATTCCTATGAAAGTGTACTGTGAAGCGGTACCATAAGGCTTACTATAAGGGTCGGTATAAGGATACTTTATTAAGGAGGGTACTACAAGGGTTACTATTGAACGGGTACTATACGGGTTACTGTCAGGGGTAGAATAACGGGCACTGCAGGGGATAACATCACAAGGGTATACGATACGTGTTCTAACTAGCGGACGGGTTTGATAGTATGAGTAGGTTTTGAAGGTCTGTTACAGTACAGATATGGAACCCTCAGAAATAGCACTGGTAAATAACTAAGCTTGTATGTTTGAGTCCCAGAGGTTGGGATCACTGAACGGTGCTTCGGGTTTGATACGGGGTTTGGGGGAGTGCCTGTGGGTTTCGGGGTTGAGGATCGGGATACACCAGAATTCCCACGGCATAGAAGTACTTGGGGTCAAGCAGGATGTGGCTCTGCAACATTAGCCCTGCAAATCCCTCAACCCTATGCCCTAAATCCAGACCCTACCTCTAGCCGAAAAGACCTACCGTTTCAAGGAACTATATATAGAAACCATAATAGGGAACCCAAAAAGGTAGGTCTTTCCGGCTACAGGTAGACCCTACACACTAGCAGTTGGCTGCCTTCGCAATGAGGATGCTGAGTTCGGAGGTAAATCTCCAGAAGATCGCCTCGGCGATGGGGAGATTTTTTTTTGGGGGGGGCTTAGGAGGCTGAAGCTTGAGAGAGACTTTGGGGGCTTAATGTTCTGGGCTTAGGGTTTACGATGTAGGATTTCGAGTTTAGGGATTGGAGGAGTCATCACTGCCCCACCACCACCTAGATTTACGCAGCTCCCGGCTGTCTTCCGCGCATTACACAACCACCTTAAGCCCCCAACATCAACCTCAACATCTAACAAAAAGTCTATACCAAAAAGCACCTTAAAACACAAACTGTCAAGCCTCATACACCCCTATCCAGCAACATGAACGCCAGTGGAGAGCAGTTGCAAAGCTTTAAGCCTTATAGGATATTGCTAGTACACATGCTGTCTACCTTGTCCTGTCTACCTTATGCTATACTATGTTATATTACGCGATACCTTATGATGGTATATCATACTATACTATATTACACCATGTCATATTATGTTATGTTCTGTTTTTGTACCGCGGACTCGACCCTACTCTACCTGGGCAGCAGACCAAGTCATCCTTGGCAGTTTTCTCGAAGAGGCTCGTCCCCTGAAGTCAGCATGAACGCTTACGTCGCTGCGTGACGTAGATCTGAGGTTTAGGGCTACTACAAAGGCGACTATATCTTAGAAGGGGCCCCCACCCTTTAATAGTGGTATAATCGGAATATAATAGGGCCCTGATATAATCCTTATAGTCACTATTACAGGGTGAGGGCCCCTTCTAAGATATGTCCTTCGACTTTAGGGTTGAGGGTTTCGGGTGTTGGGGCTTCCGGGGTTCATCGCAACGCACTGAAACCGCGGAAGCGCAAACCCAAGAGCTTAGACCGCAAACCCTACTTGGAGGTTCATGGGTAGTAATTAGTGAGGTTATAAGTAGGGTAACTATATTTATAACCCATACCGACCCATACTAGGGAGACTTATAACCCCACTTGTAGAACCACAATCTCCTAGAGCGCCCCGGCCTGCTCGAACTGCAGAACCACCAGAATTCCTTTTGCAAGCGGTCGCTTTGGTTGAGGTCTTAGAGTTTGATTGCCAATTCCGAAGGGTTCCCTAACACGAGGGTTTAGGGTTTAGGGTTGACGGCTTTAGAGGTCCCAAAAGCACCGGAAAAGCTTAGACCACAAACTTCAAAGAAGCCTAACCCTGGACCATAACAGGGAGCCCGTCTAGGCCCATATACAACCTCGGAACCTTCGACTTTAACTTATCAACGTCCCTGTAGAGCCCTTGCAGAACCTAAACCCGAAACCACGTCCGAAAAGACTAAGCCACAAAGAACTCTAAATCCTAAAACCCTCATTCCAGCCTATACAACCCCTTTTCCAAACCCAGGCAAGTCCTGCAAAACTCCGTGAAGTCCTCTAAACCCAATCCTTGACCTCCTTAATCCTTTACTTAGACCTGGCTGCAGTAGAACCCTACAAGAAGCCCTACAGCAAACCCCGGAAAAGCCTCAGAACCGAGAGGTTCGCGGCTCCGGCTCTAGGATTGAAAGAAGAGTGTAAATAGGCTTCTGACAAAAGAAAGTGTTCCAAGAGGTCTTGTCATTTAGGCCTTAGGCTTTTTGCGAGCTCGTTTAACCGAAGTTTCTGACAGGTAGGGGGTTTCGCTTAATGGGGTTTGGTGGGCTGTTCATAGGGGTTGTATACGGACTTCGGATGACTTCGGGCTTCCGGTGGAGGCTCCAGCTGGGAATCAAAGCTCTCCATTTCTTTAGGCCTCAGTGGAGGGGCAACCCTGAGACGTCCTGACTTGTTCTTGAGTCCAGCAAGAAGGGAGATGATCACCTGCGTCCACAACGGTTTAGGCTGTAGGACAGGATGGGGGTTCAAGGGATAGGGTTCACGAGCTACAGTTCTCGAATCAAAGAGTGTGCGGCACTTTACCCTGCTCAGCACCCGCAAACCCTTTAAAGGTTCATACTGCTGTCGTGGCTGCGAGAAACACTCCCGTGGCAGCCATGAGCGCAACCAGCAAAAGTGTATGACCAGTAGCTGCCTCAGCAGCTTTCAGCCTCACCACTCCGGCGGCCTCCGTTCCCTCCTACTCCTACTCCTGCTCCTACTCCTACTCCCTACTCCTACTCCTCCTACTAATCCGATCAGAACCACGACCAGAAGCAGAACCACCCCTAAAAAACTCACACAATCCCATAAGGGCCTCCTATAAGGAGCCCTCAGTCCCTAAACCCTAAAGGCCCCAAGCCCCCCCTTGCAGTCGCCTTCAGGGCGACCTCGAGCGTGGCGGCCGTATCTTCCAGCGTCTCGTGGGCCAACAGCCGCTTCAGCTGGTCGATGCTGCTGGCCTGAAAACGTTTGGAAGCTGTGTAGAGCGTGTCGGGTTTACCAGGGTTGAGGGCAAGAGAGAGAGGGAGAGAGAGAGAGGAAGGAAGGCATCCTCCGGCAAGGGGATGGACACCCACGTTGTCTCCACCCCCGAAGGGCTTAAGACGCAGTGCAGGGCAGGCAAGCAAGCAAAGCATGCAATGCAATCGAGTCTTATGGAAGTCTTCTAGCAGAAGTGAAAAGTCCCAATATCTCGGGGGCCTACACAGATCTGAAGAGAACCCCGAGGAGAGATCCGGAACTGTTCTCCGAGGAGTGCGCAGGTCCGTCAGGTCAGTAGGTGAAGGGCTGCGACAGCCGACCGGCACCAGCGTGACCAGCGAGAAGGTCGCCGCGGCGACCTGGATCGAGAGTGCTCGCTCCAGTGTTGGGCTGCGTTCGACCACCGGATGCCCAAAAGGTCGTCGCAGTCGTCGGGGCTCGGGCTCACCATTCCTCACGCTGCTGGAGGACAAGGCAAAGGGGACTTGGCCCATTTGGCGAGATGTCTCCCAGACGCAGAGCCTCCTGAAGAATGAAACCTTCCCAGGCCACCTCATACATCTCTTTCTCCAAAGTCTCCGGCAAATACCGCTCCAGCAAGGTTTTGATGGTGATGTCGGCTGGCAACCGCAATATCGCCGGCAGTGTCTGTGGGCGCCGAGCTTTCGTTTTCTGCAGGTGAAGAAGTGCCAGCCTTGCTGCATCCTGCTCCGCGTCTTTCTTCCGGCCGAATGCAGCTCCTGTAAAGCTCCCAACGGCCCAGCCCTCCACGTTAAATTGAACCGTAGCAGTGAAGCCGCACTGGCTCAGCGAATACGAGGAGGACCACTGAAATTCCTCCTCCTCCAGCGGCCGCCGCACTTCCTTCGACAGGAACTCCAGGAGTCGGCCCTTGGCGTTGGACATGTTGCGTATTGCTTCCGGAGCCTCGACTAGAGAGGACGACTCGGCTGCCGCCTCGGCTGGAAAGGCGCCCAGTGCACCCTGTTCGCAAAGCTCCACGTCCATCCAACGCCTTCGCCGTCGCATCTGTTGAGGTTCACTTTCCGAGCTGACTTTCGGAGCCGCGATTCGAACGTTGTCGGGGCCCTGTAGCTCCAGGTAGTTTAGCGCCTGTAATGCAGCGGAATGCTTTGCCGTTTGCTTCAGTCGAAAGGAATCACCCGCAAATTCCATCGGAGGATCCAGTGCATCTAAACAAACGATTGCCACAAAGTTTCCCACGTTGGAGGGCCGAGGCTTGAAGCGGTACCGCGGCTCGTTTTTCGCAAGGCTCCGCCCCAGCAGCTTTGCATAGCTACGCTCCAAGTCGCCGATACAATCGCCCGCACCTTCCATGTCCTTCTCTTCCACCAATCTGTCTTTCTTCTCTTCGTTCTCCTCGCCGCCGACGCCGACGTCATCAACCCCAAGGCCTTCATGTTTTGCGGAGTTAGCGGCCCTGTTCAGCTCTTCCAGTCTCAGGAGTTCCTCGTTGTCGAGAAGGCGATTCTTCTGCGCGTGAAGCATCGCCACGGACAAATGCTCGAAATTGGTCCTGAAATTGCGGTTCAAGTTGAAGAGCTCCTCGATCTGCCGCTTAACGAGATCCAGCCGTTTCTGGAGGCCATCGGGAATCCCTGCGTCTGTGGGAGTCTCTGAGCTTGCCATGGCTCGGAATGCTTCTGCTTCTGCACCTGTACCGCTACACGAGCTCCCCAGCGGGTTTGGGCTTTAGGACTTGGGGTATAGGGTTTGAGGCTTAAGGTGTAGGGTCGGTGTCCGTTTTCAGGTGGGGTCTCCTGGCATGCTGCTCGCTAGAAACAGTGCGAAACATGAAGCAAGCATTTACTTAGGCCTAGGCTGATGCTGCCAGCCTCGTCTGCAAAGGCACAAGTCACAACAATTGCCTAAACCCTTGCCTAAACCCTGCAGTCCGAAACCCTAAACTCCTCTACCCCTAAAACCCTTCAGGTCTCGTGGATCTCCCTTCTCCTGCCCTTGGGTTCCGGCATACTGTGCCGGCATCAGCTTCTCGAGAGCCTGGCTTCATGGCAAAGGGCTTCTGGGCTCAGGGCTCCGGGCTTCGGTCTTTCCGAGGGTTTCGGGCTTCGGGGTTTTCAGGGCCTAGGGCTTGGGATCTCCACTTAGTCACTTTCGCGTTGAACACGACGTGTCGTCTGTGTGGAAACACTGGAGCACCATGTGAAAGCATGTGGTGTCACCATGAGGAACCCTGCACACACTAAACCCCTTTTGGCCGTGAACCGCTAAAACCGCATCCCCTAAACCCTGAACCTTATCTCTCAAAGCCAAAGCCCTACACCCCCAACCCCAAACTCAAGCCCCCTGTGCATACTAAACCCGTAACCTAGTGTGGTCAATGCCTGCGCATCGTCGGCCGGGGTGGCCGAGTTTGATGTGCGATAGACCCCCACCTGAGATCAGCCATGGAACTGGCACATAATCTTGCACTTATTGACTCATACACTGGATATGTTCAATATGGTTGTGTATACTATTTTATTTGGACACACGACCTGCTACAGTACATGGCTATATCTTTCTATGTATACCTATATGTCTATGTCTATGTGCGTGTATGTATTACGTAGACATCTGTGCATGTGCATGTGTGTATACTAGTACATGTGCACATATGTGTGTATATACATATGTAAATATAGGTACAGGTATATGTAAACGCATACGAAACGTAGATGTGCGTATATGCATGACAGTGTATGTATGTATGTATGTATGTATGCATTCATGCATGCAAGCATGTATGTGTGCATATAAATATATATATATATATATATATATATATATATATATATATATATATATTTTGCTGTTTGTTTGCTGTTTCGGGCGAAGAGTCGTAGCGACGCGGCCCTTTGGCTTGCATCTAATTAGGGAATCCTCGCGCAGAAATCTGGACACGTACCAGTATGCGCTAAGGCTGGGAACCACATGTTCGAGGATTTAACTGGCGCCTAAGGCAGAAAAGCCATCCCCGAGCACATGCAAAATCAAGACAAGACGGAGCCAACATCAAAGTTAAAGCAGCACTCCTGCAGACCTTCAGGCTTTGCCAAAGAAGGCCACGGACCTGGCTGATTCAAACGCCTGGTATCCCTTGCGGGCTACCAAAAAAGCCACCGAGAACAGAACCCTGGAGCAGAAATCCACGACTACAGTAGTGACTGGTGGTGTGCTCTCAGGGTAACAAACGGAAGAGCAGGACACGATCACCCGAAAGCGGAAGGTATTCCTCCAAACCGGGCTCCTGAGAGGCCATCCAAACCGCCGGAGCCCTCAACGCGGCCACAAAATGCGCACAGTGACAGCGTTTACACGCACTGGGCCGCGGAAAAGGTAACCAACTGTCCAAACACAAAAACACTAAGCAGCAAGGGTGAGTGCAAAATCATGTCCAAGGAGGCGAGCGGTGCAGCTGCGGTTCCGCGCAGTTCCGCTCAAAATGCATACTCGCAGGATGTGGCTAGGGTCATATTCCACATTCCAGCCGGCAGCCCTACTCGGCTAAACAGACAGCAAGCAATACCTTGGCAGGTTCGTTCTTACTGCTCTGTACATTTGAATTACCCCTCATCAGCATTTGACGTCGGAAACTAATCAATCTCGAAACTCCGTCATGTAGCAGCTGCTGTTCCAGGGTGACCGTCAGGATCTTGACGAAGATCTGCATGCCGCCTCGAAAGTGCGGTGCCAAGTGAAGGGTCGATTCCTTCTGTAGGTTGTGATCCGAAAGAGTACGGCCGCCCTCAAACTGCCTGCCAAAAATCAGGTGTTGCTGGTCGGGCGGGATGCCTGCCTTATCTTGGGACTGCGCCTTGACAGTGTCGAACGTGCCACTGGCCTCAACGTCCAAGGTGAGCGTCAGGATCTTGACAAAGATCTGCATGCCGCGTCGCAAGTGCGGCGTCAAATGAAGGGTCGATTCCTTCTGCAGGTTGTAATCCGAAAGAGTACGGCCGCACTCAAACTGCCTGCCAGCAAAGATCAGGTGCTGCTGGTCGGGCGGGATGCCTGCCTTAATCTTGGGACTTCGCATTGACTTTGTCGAACGTGCCACTGGCCTCAACGTCCAACGTAATCGTCTTGCCTGTCAGGGTCTTGTCAAAGATCTGCATGCCGCCTCGCAAGCGCGGCACCAGGCGAAGGCGTGCCTTTCATGGCACTGGGGCTACCGATAGTTCCGCGCTGCTGCGGCCATTCGAGCCCTATATATATATATATATATATATATATATATATATATATATATATATATATTCATGTATATATCTATATATGTACATACACTTGTGTGTCCAGGTGTTTTGCTGTATCTATGTATGTCTGCATGTATGTGCATAGATCATGTGCGCGTGCGTACACATATGACGTGTCATGCTCGGGCAGATACAGAAAATGCATAAATGTGCTTTAAGCCCTGAAGCGATGGTCATGCCTTCCTGTCGACGACACTTCTACTACCATATACCCCAACTATGAAAGCCCTGTAAAAACCTACATTACAGAAACTAGCTTCAAATACACCTGACAGCCCTTACTAAAAAACTGTAGACCCTAAACCCTAAACCCTAAATCCCTAGATCGTGAACACTGGGCTCCGCGCCAAACTCCGAATCAGCTCCACGGCCATGCGGGTCGACTCCCCCGGCCTGGCAGCCGCTCCAGGAAGCGAAGAATACGAAGCTTCTAATGCTGTCGATTTTATATACATATATATGTGTATATATATATATATATATATTATTACCATTATTACTATTACTAGTATACATATGTGTATGTCTATACATATATATATATATATATATATATATATATATATATACATACATCTCTACCGAGAGATTTCGACAAGACCCCCGGGATTAATTTACGACTAAGGGTTTAAGCGTTATTAATTCTCTGGAGCCTCATTTGCAGCGGCTCTTTTCAAAATGAAAGTAAAATAGAGAGAGAGAGAGAGAGAGAGAGAGAGAGAGAGAGAGAGAGAGAGAGAGAGAATTAAATACCTTTACACAATCACAAGGTCCTCATGAAGGATTGCCGCTCTACGCGAGGATAATGTCTTACTTGACGGCTTTGGGACTCTTTAGCCTTGCAGAAAAATGAAAAAGCGCAAGAGATGACGGGGATTCTGTAAACGATGCTTTTCGCTTTGGGATCCTCCAGATTACAGAGACCCTAAGATTCTAAGTCAAATTGAAACTCGTGCAGAGCCCCTTGTAAAGCACGAAAAGCCCGATTTTCTACCCTAAACCCTAAACCCTAAACAAGAGAGCGCAGGGAGCAAAATTACCAGCGCCTGGGGCCCATCGAGCCGAAGACGGGCAGCGTCTGAAACCTGGGCCCAATCGAAGGGAATTCTTTTCTACATTCATTCATACATACATACATAAATACATAAATATATATATATATATACACATATGCATTTGTGTGTGTATATATATATAGAGAGAGAGAGGGAGAGAGAGAGAGAGAGAGAGAGAGAGAGAATAGAGCTGATGCAGCATGGTGACAAGGTTTAAGGGGATGTCGGCTTGAGGCAGGGCGCAGGGTCATAAGGTTTAAGGTTTGGGAGAAAGCTGGTAGCGCAAAGGGTAGCAGGGTTTCGATGAGGCTTGGGGCTCGGGGTTTGGGCTTTGGGCTCAGAGAGGATGAGCAGCACCAGGGCCTATGCTCCTCCAGGCCAAGAGACTGCAATGCGCAATGAGTGGCGATGTGCTCTGCCAGCTCGATTTTCCCCAAACCTGAGAAGCGGCCAATCGAGGGTCCGTGGTCGCTTCTGAAAAAACAACGATATGAAAGCACAAAACCCTCGAAAAATAACGAAGCATCCTGAAAACAATGGAACCATCAGCAAGGATTGATGTTATGACCATTCGTTTGTCGTATCGAGGAACCAAAACATTGTTGATAGCAATGTTGTTATAGCTGCCCAGACATGGGAATGCATGTACTTTGACGGATAAGAAAGGTTCAACAGTGTTCTGACTCCTACTGCTAGTCCTGCTTCCGGCCTGTGAGTGCTGCTACTGGTACCAACACTGCTTGATGCAGGACTAGACTGCAAAGACGACGACGAAGACGACAGCAGCGGTGGCGGAGGCTTGAAGACTGTGACTGCGAATACGACTGCTGGCACCACTACAACTACGACAAATATCCGACTGCTAGGAGGTTTACAGCAGCGATTACAACTGCAACGACGAGTAGGTCGATGTCAAACTAGTATACCACCGCTCTCACTCCTGGTCCTGCTCCTTCTCTTCCGCCATTCTACAAAATATAAGTTATAAAAGCCCTATAAAACCTGCTCCAAATCCTACTCCGACTCCGTCCAGCCCTGCTAAAACTAGCACCAGCACTGCACCCACCGCCACCACCACCAGCACCACCACCACTGCCACTGCCATTGCCACAGTCACAACCGTCGCCACTTCCCCAACTACTACTGTCGCTGATGTTGCTGCTACTCGAGCTGCTGCTCCTACAGTGCTGCTACTCCATGCTTGTATGACGTTTTGGAGACAACAGTTTCCCAAGAAGTTGTGTCAACGCGTCGCTCAGGTCTGCATCCTAAACAAAATGCAACAAAAGGTCGATACATGGGTAAGTTAAGCACTTCCGAGGACACGACCGTTTGCACCTTCGATGACGACCAAACCTCCCTCGGCGAAGGGGCTGTTTGCCGGAGCCTGCACGATCTGGAGCTGTAGAACTTTGGGTTTTAGGGTATAGGCGGCATCGGGATTTGGGTCCTCGGCGACTTGGAGCCTTAGGCTGGCTGGCCTTGGGCGTAGTGCCCTGCACTTCAAGGCTTGCGTTCTCGGATTTCTTGAGCTGTAGGCTCTCGGGTTTATACAGGGAGGCTTTGTGATTCAACGTTGCAAAGGCTTTTGAAAATTTAGGTGGGGACCCCCAAGGTGTGGCAAAACGCCAAAGACCCCGAGATCCCTGTATTGAAGAGTTGGGGTTAGGAAGATTTCCTCGAGGTATGCAGATCTAGAGCTAAAGTTTAAACCGCAACTCTTGAACCCTCTACCCGAACCCCTTATAAACCCATGTACCAACAAACCCTAAACAGTCTCTATATACGCATGTGTACAAACCAATCTCGAAATGCAAAAATCCTATGAACCCGCTTAGAACCCTCAAGAAACCCTACTAGAATTCCCAAAGGGCCTACTATAGGGGCTTTCATAATTAGAATAGGGTCTTGGGGCCCATTATACTATACTTATAATAAGGAACCCCAAAAATAGTATAGGTAAGTATTTAGGCCCCTATATTAGCTTCTGACCAGCAGCTGCGCCTTCATGCGAGGGGTGGGCGTGGAGGCCCCGACAACTTGGTCCGGTGCGTGCAAGGCCTCACAGGTTAGGGCGAAGCTTTTATCGCAGGTTTCTAAAGTTGTCCACACAGTAAAGGTTCGGTTTGGGACTTTACAGCTTTGTATAGGGGCTTAGGCTTGATTTTTTCAAGGTTTGGTTTTGATAAGGGGTTGTAAGGGCTTGTAGGTTTTTTAGTACAAGTTTTGATAGGCGGGTTTAGGGTATAGTATATGGTAGGCGGTTGCAGGTCGTATAGTTTTGGGGCTAAAGGCTTTCAGTTCCCGGGTTTAGGCTTTGGGGCTTGAGGGTTTCGCTTGGGTTGTAAGTTTGGGTTTCGGGTGTAGGTTTGAGGGTTTAGGGTTCAGGGTTTGGGGTTTAGAAGCGTTTAGGGTTTGGGTGCCTTGTGCATGGTTCTTCTGGGGTCGATGCAGATATGACTATGGCTGCTAAGATGATCAGCACTACCACGACTACTATCCTCACTACTAACTTTGGGGCATACCTCGCTGTAATGGATACATCTCACATTTCTCAGACTAAGCCGCTTTTTTCTGCTGCGGTTATTATCATTATTGCTACATTCACCTTGTGCATACTATCATTATTTACCGCGTTGGTGCTGTAACGAGCATAGACTCTTTGCTTGCTGTCAGCAGTCTTGTTCTTGGCGGGCGGATCTTTGACACCTTGCCAACTGATGATGCTGCCTGCAACTCATGTAACATCGCGATCATGCGAAGACTTACTCGACGCCTAGCAGCAGTGGCATTAGTGGTGGGATTGCAAACCGTCGTAAAAGAAGCCTGTCAGTCACCTGAAATGCATTTTGCCTAACCGCTCCAACACAGGCATGCCCGTCGAACGATTGTGCCTCGTGAGGTATTCACTTGGAATGCCCTAAACCCCCAAACCCCTAAACTCTAAACCCTGAAGCCCTAGACCTCTAAGCAAGAAAACCCTTGAGAGCGGTCCGGCTCATGCCCCAACGCCTTGCTTTTAGGGTTTAGGATTTCAATGCCCCAGTGCCTTGCTGAAAGGGCTTCCCAGCATCTCTGCGACTTTCATATTCGGCGGCCACTTCTGTATGGAGCAGAGGCTCTGCACCTCGGGCCCAGGGCTTAAGGGCTGGCCCAGGGATTTGGGTTTGGGGCCTTTAGGGTTTAAAGCCTTTAGGGGTGTAAGGGTTCAGAGCTCAGGGGCTTGGGGTTCACACACGATGAGAACAAGAAGAGAATGATAAATCAAAACCACAAAGCACTGACAATGGAGTAAGAAATTGCAACTAGAGTGACTCATGCGGACAATATTAGCCTTGAGCATAGACATGGTCGTAAAGTGATCATAAACGGATCAAGAACACATAATAGTTCAAGAACAACACCAAAAATAACAGCATGTCAAGAAGCGAGAGGTATGCACCCTTAGAAGAAGTCTCCCGGCAACCATTTTGTTTACCCGTAAACATTTCGACAAAAAACGGAAGCCCCACAGCTCTCTAGAAACCCTGCGGTAGCCTGAAAAAGCCTCATGGACCCCGACAAACCCAAAACAGTCTTAAGACTCCTAAACCCTAAACCCTAAACCCTACTTAACCAAAAACGAAGCATTCAAACAAACACAACAAAAACCATAAGAAATCCCCCCACCACCACCCGAAAAAAAGTGGAGCCCTCTAAACCCGTAGAAACCCTAAACTCTAACCCTCTTGAAATTACAGAAACAGGGGAAGCCTTGAGCTTCGAGGTGGCCATGGCATCCTTGGAGTTCAGCGTGGAGCCGTCCAGGAGGTTGTCCTTTTCTCTGGGATGGCGTTTAGGGTTGTAGGGCTGGGGGCTTCTAGGGTTTAGGGGGTTTAGGGCTTTTAGGGTTTAGGGTTTAGGGCTTAGGGCTTAGGGCTTAGGGCTTTTAGGGTTTAGGGCGTTTAGGATTAGGATTTGGGAAGTTAGGGGGTGTTTCAAGTTAAGGGTTTGTTGGGGTTTTAGGGCATAGGGCTTTCAAGGCATCGGGCTGAATAGCTGCTAAGAAGTGAATCGGGCCTCCTTGCGGGTTCTACAAGGTGGGTGCCTTCATAGCTAGAAGAAGGCTCCTTTGAGTCCCCGAGGGTTCCAAATCTTTACACCCGAAGGGTCCTTGGTTGAAGGTTTCAAGGTGCTCGGTGGTTGTTTTCAGGCTCCGGTTTTTTTGAGAAAGCGCTTCGGGTTAAGGATTTGTGAGCTTAAGGTCTCAAGGTCCCTGGTTCAGGGGTACTCGGAGGGGTTCTTCCTTTCAGGAATCTTGGGGCTAAAGGGATGAAGGGAGGGAGGGAGGGAGGGGGGCGGGAGGCAGGGAGGGAGGGAAGGAGGAAACAAGCGTTCGCAGGCAGACTCCGTTGAGGGTGCGGCATACCAGGGAAACCGGATCTTCCGATCCGCGGTGATACCTCGCAAGGCTACCCAGTGGCGTTCCGAGACACAAAGCTTCCCTGAGCCGTGGCCGTGTGTTTGAGATGCAGTAGTAAGTGCGGCACCCACTGCCATCGCTGCCTGCAGGATAAAGAAAATCTTGCATAATCCATCAAAAATCACATGCCATTTCCCTGTTGTTTAGGTTGCTTGGGCTTCAGGTGCTGCAAGCATTTGTCCATCAGCAATAGCAGCAGTCTTCCACGGATGGATCTTCCCTGCCTCCCGCAGAGTCGGCTGAAAGATGGAGATCGGATTCGTCTTTCCTTTCACCTGCTGCTACCGGGGCAAGAAGCTCCTACTGCTAAAGCCTATCACCCTCTCACCCCAAAAAACCGCAAACGGTCAAGCTGCATCAAAAAAGCCCTGAACCCTTCCCCCAAGCCCTCAGCCTTGATGGGTGCCAGGGGCTTGAAGTCAATCTCACCTGCCAAGCGCGAAACAGAAGGTTTTTTTCTTTGTGGATTAGGGACTAGGGTTTTTTTGGTAGAGGGGCAGGCTTTGTCCTCCATGGTCTATAGGGTCCGGGGATTACTGTAGGCCTCTGGGCTTTCTTCTCAGCTTCGATTCCCACTACTGGAACACCCAGACAAGCGCGCCTGTCGAGTGTCTGCTGGTCTCTTCATCCGTCAGAACTCCCAAAGGCGGAGCATTGGCCTGCCACGGAAGGGTTGGGTTGGCGGCCGAGGGCTAAGAAGAGGGGCCTCACTCTTCATGGAGCACGGACAGCAGATCAGGACGCCAAACGTGCCGGGAATGCCATCAACCGTGCTGATAAGTTCACGCAGTCGCCAAGAACCTGGCACTCAACATTTAATCTGATCTCACATCAGGAACGACAACACAACATCATACAGACAACCGCACGGTTCTTGAGGGACGCGGTGGTCCGACGGTCTAAAAGAGTCCGGGGAGCTGTGTACTCCATGCGCTTGGCGCTTCCACAGACCTCAGCCGTGGAGAGGCTGCCGTGGCAGGGCCAAGAAGCCCTACCAGGACCTACTAGAACGATTTTTTGGAAACGCCTCTATGAAGTTTTAGTTCGACTAGGGTCCTAGGGTGTATATTCGGACCCTACACAACAGCAGGTTCCATCCGGTGATGGTGAACCAAAAAACAACTGGGGCTCCCACTCCACAGTAACTTCGGCCAGTTGTGACCCCGAACCGCCCCACGAGCTCCAATCTCTTGAAGACCTGCGCTCGGTTGAGGGTTTAGGGTTTAGGGTTTAGGGTGGGTGTAGGCACTAGGCTTGAAGGAATTGGGTGCAGGCCTTGCGGTCCACGGCTTGAGAACCCCCCAAGGCACCCCAACCCCGGCCCCTTCAAAAAAATGACATAAACACCATGAAAACTGCAAATTGACAAAACCATGAAAAACCAAGAAGCTTGAGAAGCATGCTCCCCTCACACAAAAAGAGGAGGCTCCAAAAAATTCGCCTGGACCAGCTCCATGCTGGCGAGCACGGCCCTTGCAGGGTCATCTGGGTGCACCAGGGGCGGCAAGCCGAAGACCAGGAGGAAGAGCCTTGAGAAAAAACGCAAGCAAATACTTTGCATTGATGTATGCATGTATACATGTGTGTGTGTATATATATATATATATATGTCCGATCCATCCATCCGATCCATCAATCCATCCATCAATCCATTCATGCATATACTTATTCGCTTGTTTATTCATATGCGGATACAGAGATTATGTACACATATGTTTATGTACGTGTGTATGCGTGTATATACATAATATATATATATATATATATATATACACATACTGGCAGAGACAGCGAAAACTCCAGGGCGCTAGGGTTTGGACTTTTCGGCACTTGTGGACACTTGTGGACGCTTTGGGCTTTAAGGCTTAGGATCCTGAAGAGCATGATGCAGGCTGCTGAGCACCAACGCTGGGGCCGCTGCATGCCTTTGTCATCAATTAAGAACTTGTTCAGGGTTCCCTCGTGCGCGTAGCATACCTTCTGCACCTCGGAAGCGCACTACAAGCAGCTTGCAAAGTACCAAACCTCCAAGTAATGGGCCCAGCACCACGGACCTTTCACATTCTCCTCAAACAAAATCCGAAGCGGACCGCCATGAACCAGAGAGAGAGGTCGGACTTGGGTTCTGGGTGGGAATGTTCCCGGAGCGGAGGCTCCTTGCACCTAGCGGACATCGAGACCTGTTCATGCCCTAAGGAGGGCCTTGAATTAGATCGCGACTGAGCGGTCAGAGCTTAAAGTCCATTCGTTTAAAGCTCACTAGAAGGTGCCGTTTAACACGGTCATGTGTCTTCCCTGGCGGCTGCCGTGTCAACGGATCCCTGGAATGTAAACTCAGACAAGTCAGACAACTACAACTATGAAGCCCGAAACCCTGGATTACAAACCAAAAGCACCCGAAAACCCAAAGCCCTCTGTGGCGAGGGAACGATTTCACAACCACAAGAGGACCTGCGGGAGCCGCAGTCACTCTCCAAACCGAAATTCATCTACCGAAGCCCTGGATCCCGAAATAGCCCCCTAAACCCTAAACCCCAAACCCTCAAACCTAAACCCTAAACCCCAGCCTCCACACCATGAACACCGAAAGCGAAATGAGCTCCAGGAGCTCTGGCGAGAAGCCCCAAAACCCTAAACCCTAAAGGCCCTGGAACCCGAAAACCCCACAAAGCCTAGTTTAGGGCTTATGGTTTAGGGTTTAAAGTTACTATAGAGATTTCTTTAAGGAGTTCGGCTAAATCCCGAACCCTGCACACCCGAAAGACCGTAGACCTGAAACCCTAAGCCCGAAACTTTGCTCTAAGAACAAGAAGAGCTCCCTAAACCTTCAACCCCATATAGTAACCCTGAAAGATCCATTAGAGGAACTTGGGCGGTTGTCAAAATTAGGGTCCCTTTCTGGTCCCTTAATAGATATAATACGGCATGTATTATTTAGGGTACCCAAAAAGGGACCCTAATTTTGACAACCACCCACTTCGAAAAAACCCTAAACCCTACCAGAGCTCAGGGGTCCGCGGATGACATCAGCTCCTGCGCCTGGCTAGGGCCGTTCGACGACATGACCTCGCGCTGAGCTTACAGTATACATTATACCATGTACTATGTACCATATACTAAATACTTTATACTATATACTTTATACTCTATACTATATACTATATACTCTACACTATATACTTTTCACTGTATACTATATACTGTATGCTGTATACAATATACTTTTTACTATATACTCTATATTATATTATCCATATCATCTATATCCTATGTACATATACATACGTATATATATATATATATACATATACATATACATATATATGTACATACTATGCAGTATGTGTATATATTATATATACAGTATGCATTACATCAGCTCTAATATGTAATTCACAGTTTGGGTCTGCGGCTTTGGGGGCTATCATTCAAATTCAGGGTTGTTTAAGGGCATTACAGCCCCTTTGTGCTTCAGAGCTGGAAAGGTTTAGAGGGTGTGAGGTTTTGGGCCTAGTGTTTGGGAGGCTTTGTGGGCAGGCGTTTGTTGGGGATGACAAGGTTCGCCAGCTTGGTTCGGTCGGGCATAAACTGCAGAGTTTGTTGAGGCGGTGGGTGGGTTTTCGCTTCTTGATCAAGGATTGGGTGCAGAGGCACTGCTTCTTCCTGTGGGCTTCCAGGTGCTTGGAAACCCTAAACCTAAACCTAAACACAAAGGATCTAAACCCAAAACCAGGGCTCAGGAAGCTTAGGTTTGACGGCGGAAGGATGCAAGTCGAATCACGAGACTGCCGGTTCTTGTGATTCAGCAAACCTTCACTCCAGTGTCGCTGTTGTGAATTGTAACCTGCGGAGTTTTGTCTCTTGGCCAGGCAGCCGTGGCACTCGCGAGTGCAGGCTCCGAGAGGGTAATATGGGGCTTTAACAAATAGAAAAGAGCTTGGGGGGTATACTATACTATTCTAACTATTGAGGCCCCTACATTAGGGTGTGCGGTCTAAGGTTCATGTGTTGGCTTCTGCTCCAGATTCTGTTAGGCCCTTCATTTACAACCCTAGATGAACAACATTCAGCCAGCGACGTCTAAGCCAGAACCATTGATGAAGATAACGGAGATGTTGCCTGAGCCGCTGCATCACAACGACACGCTCGAGCTTGTAGCATGACATCCAGCTTCAACTGCCGGACTTTTCAGCCTGACTTGCAGCACAGATTCTAGCAGTGTCTAGAACCTGTTCAAAAGGGAACATGGGAAGGGTGAATTCGTCAGTCCCACCACAATTGCTCTCCTCTCAGCCGGGTCACGCATCTCGTTGACGTACTGCAGGGTGCCGCACTCGATCTGCTTGAAGACGGCAGACGGGATGTACCGCCTGGTTTGAGTCAAACCTTTCAGGTTTAGAGGTGTAGAGGCTTAGAGTTCAGTAAGGTTTAGGTTCAGACACAGGGTTCCGCATTGCAGGGCTTGGCACAGAAGATCATCCTGCAGATTCACCATGCTTAGACTGTATTCAGAGTCCCACCGAAGGCGACCTAAACAAAAACGATATAAAAAGCTCATATCCTAAACTTCAACAACCAAGTCGAAACCCAAAAATCCCAAACCTTCCCCTGCCTCGTGATGTTCAGCTGGTCAAGCTTGAAGCAGTTCTCGATGCGCGTGTCGTAGAGTTGAGTGGCATATTTGATGGTCGGGAAGGTGTACTTCGACTCATCCTGAGCAGATTTGATTAGAATAGGGTTTTTGAGTGGTTCATAGAAGGGGTTTTGGGAGCTCCTGGGTGCAGGGTCTAAAGGACTTCAAGGGGTCTAAACCCCCAAATGGTTGTGGAAACCCCTGTGGGAGTCCTTACGGGAATCATTATATGTACCCTCTTATTCTTGTTGTAGGCACCCCGAAAACCTCCGAAACTCGAACACCCCTAAAAAAGTGGCCTTAATAATTGCCCATTATACCGTAATTACAGTAACGAAAAAACTCTGTAATTATTAAGGCCCCTGAAGCAAACTACCACCGAAGCCTTAGCTCCGGACCATCCGGAGCAGCAGGTGGAAGTCCATGCGGTCCTGGCATTGCCAGGTCCGTTGCTTTGGAGCATCATCATCATCATCGACATCAACAGGCTCGAAGGCTCGGGGCCTCCAGCGGGCGGCCTTCGATGACGCAGTCTTTCACCAGCTCCCAGGCCTGCAATGCGAGGGGGGGGAGGTTTCTCCTGCTTTTTTGGGCCTGTTGCGAAGGCTTCCTATGGGTTTTAAGGTTTGGGGTGCTTTACGAGCTTTTCCTTGGGCCTACCCCCAAAAAAAAAATCAAGTGTGACTTCGGCCGAGGAGGCAACAGACCCGTACGACCTTACCCGCAAGCCCTAAAATTTGGACTATTGAGTCCTAGACCAGAAAACGTCTGCTCAATATTCAGCACTGAACCTAAACCCTAAACCCCATCCGTTCAGCACTGAACCCGCCCTCTCGAAACGAACTGTGCGCCAGAGTCGGGCCTGTGGGCTCAGACACGTCTCGCCGTTCTTGGCGAGGGGCTCTGCCTTCAGATGGTGGTGTTTGTGAGGGCCTTTTCGGGTCGGAAGGTTTCTTTCGTTTGAGGTTGCGCGTGGGTGCTTCTGGTGCTTTGGGGGAGCTTCTGGCTTGCTCGGTAGGAGGGAAGGCTTGGAAACCCTAAACCCCTAACCCCTGAACCCTAAACCCTTAAACCAGCAACCCTGAACCCTTTAACCCCCAAACCGTGAGCCGTAAACCCAAAACGAATTCCTGCCTAAACCCCTTACAGTAACCCCAAAACCGTGAGCCCTAAACTCAAAACGAACTTCTGCCTAAAACCTCCCGGCGCCACCCTCCCACTGAGCTTCACGCGATGGAGATCTGCTCGAGCGGGGCTCCGGAGATGAGATACTCTATCCTGGCTTCGGATTGAAGGTTCAGGGCTTTCGGGATTAATGTTTTAGGGGTTAGGGGTCTAGGGTTTAGGGGTTTAGGGTTCTAGGGTTCAAGGGTTTCGGGGCTTAGGGTTTCGGCACTTTTTGGGCTCGACGGGCTATTGCGGTGCTTGTAAGGGTTCTTTTTCTTTTCGAGGGCTTCCAAAAGGAATCTACAATAAGGGTTCTACACTGCTTGGTGTAGGTTGTGACGAAAGATCCCTCTGGCCGCTTTACTCGCAATTCGTCAGACTTCTACAGTAGGTTCTGGACGTCTCAGATCCGAATACTTTAGAGTCGTACTATAGAAGCCTTAATCATTAGAATAGTGCTTTGAGGCCCATTATACTATACTTATTATAAGGAACCCCCAAAATAGTATAGGGGGCTTGGAGCTTCAGAGCTTTAGGGCTTCGGTTCGGGTCTCCGGTGTTTCCGGGCTTCGGTGGTGGAGATTGCCTGGCATCTGGTCGAGCTCTGAACCCTTGGGGCCCATACCCGCACCTCAGGGATTTCGTGGATGAGCGCAAAAGGTATTGTGGTTCGGGTTTAGGTTTGGGGCTTATCAGGGAGGGCCCAACTCAAATTAAATTACCAGAAGCTACTGCGTTGGTAGGGTCGCTGCCCTGCACTATGAACCCTTTCTCTCAACCAAGAAGGTTTGAACTTTTTGTGACGACATGCGCGAAAACCTATTACCCCGGAATGAAGTCAAAGCTATCTCCTCGACTGCTAAGCGAAGATCTTGATCACAAAGGCCCAAACCCATAATAGTTAAATCCCTGTACAAAGCCCCATAGAGGTTCTACTACAGCGGACTTAATACTTAATTACTACAGGGCTTTGGGGTATATCATAAAACTATTATGGGAGTTTCCGCAAACAGGGGACCCCACTATAGTACCCTGAATAATAAGATCCTGTTATTAGGACACAAAAAAATGAGGTACCCCTAATATTCGGTAACTCCCATATAGACCCTATACCATAGAACCCTACTATAGATCCCTTATAGACCGCTTTAAGGAACCCTTTAAAGGAACCCTATTCTAACTATTGAGGCCCTCCACTTCCTTTACGTCCACCGGCCTCGGGATGTGAGTCTCCGGCGGAACGATGCCACCCACCTGCGAACGCAAGGCTTAATAGAGGGTTCAGGGTTTAGAGTCTATGAAAGCTTATGACTGCTTTAGGGTTTAGGGTTTTGGGGGCCTTAAAAACTAGCAATATTCAGATATACCGCAAAACACTATTCTACTTGTGATGGCCGTGTATGACTATGCCTAAAGATTTTAGGGATCTGAAAGAGTTTCTGGAGTTGGATTTGTGACCAGGTTTTCTGGGGGGTGTTGAAAGGGCTGTAAGGTTCAGGCTATGCGTTTTGGGTTTGCTGCGTAGGTTCTAGGATTAAGCGTTTGGGGCTGAAGGCCTCAAGGGTGTTAGAAGCCAGCCCGTTGTCTGAAGTGGTAGGACTTTGGAGTCCGGCTTTTAAGCTCCGTGAGTGCATTATCTGTACAGGAGCCCTTGCTACCCCCAGTCTCCTCGACACCTCCACCTGATGTCCCAAGTAGCGGGCAGAAGGAGGCTGTAAGCCCCGAAAGCCCTAAACCTTCGACCCAGCCCTACACCAGACGCTAATGCAGGTGGCCACCTGCAGGATGCTAATCTCACCACAGCCCACGCCGATGTGCAGGCACAGCCGCACATCATCAACACCTGGCCCAGGGAATCAAGAACAGATTGCACAACTCTAACCGTGGTCAACAAGACAAAGGGTGATATCTATGACAACGGAATAATGCAATACAGTTAGCAGTTTGCAGCTAGCAGGAGCGAAAGCTTAACACTAACTTGACCGCCCTAGCAACAGGAATTAGACATAAGATCGACAATAAGGATTCCAGTGACCAGTATCGGAAGCAGTAAACATCACCGTCATAATCACCATGATCAGCATCGCCATCGTCACCAACATCGGAATCATCATCAGGATGATTCCAACCACCGTGCATGGACTGTTATGATGGTCATTTTAGCAGTCATATGAGTATTCACCTTCACACGACAGATACAAAACCGACATGAACACTAACGAACCTAGAAATCGGAAGCAGCAATGACATGCGACACAACAGCAATGACAACAATTCAGAGAAACGATCAGCTAACGTGAGTACTGACACGGCCCGACACATTCATAAAATACTGGAGCTCCAGGTCAAACAACCTAACACCACAACTAGCGCCAGCAGCCTCGCCCCCCCTGCCCCCCCCCCCATGCCACGCCAGACACACAAAGCGACGACGACAACGATCACACCAAACACCGCAAGAAGAAGAAGAAGACGAACAAGAGCAACAAGAACAAGACCAGCACAACACGAATACGGCGACGATGACGCACACACATCTCTAGTTTTTCACTGAAGGTCCAAACGGAAAGGACCCAAACATCAACCGGTCCAGCCACTGGGATTTTGAAATTAAGAAAGTGGCACCCGCCTGTCTCGAACATGTGCAGCCTCTTGTGGATCTCAATGCAGCAAGCAGACCTCGGCGGTCTCAGCACATGAAGCAAGTGTAGGACCGTCTAAGACTTGGGATCAAGTCTGAAGCTTTGTTGCTGAAGTTCAAGGCACTTGGGATTTAAGTATGGGCTTTTGGATTCTTGCTCCCTGGACCCAAGATCCTGAAGCAAAAACCCTTGGGCCCCAAAATCCCGATAATCCCTCGCGAACACCCGGAGCCAGTCAGAGAAAGTACACCGAGACCGCACACACCGAGCAAAGGCACCCTCATGTCAGAAATTTGGAGACTGAGGATTGGGGAGTAAGAGTTCAGGATTTAGCGCTTGAGGTTTAGGGAAGAGGGCTTTAAGGAATAAGGAGCTATGGTAGCAAATATCAATTTAATGAACAAGGAGCTGTGGTAGCAAATGTTAAGCTTGCCCCGTTATAATAACTTAAATAACCTCTTGCTATGAAACTTTGGAATACCCTCACCACATCGCTCAATCATTCTGATAGAACCCTGACAACACCCTGAAGAAACCGTGTGAAGCCCTACAAAACCCTATAAACTACCATTAGAACCGTACAAAACCTGTGTTGCGGCAGTGGCACCTGAAGCTCATGCAGAACCCTGAACTGCTGGAAATAGTACTCCCTGAAGCCCCTGTATACTGTAGTCTAGGATTCCCGATTCTTGTTATAATCGCGAAGGCCCCAAGCCCAAACCCCATTCAAAACCCGTAAAAGACTCTCGTTTAAGATCCCTATATAGAGCCCCCTGTGAGCTCCTCGAACAAAGCAAGCCCACTTAAAGCAGGAACCCTTCAAGTAACCCGTATCATCAACCCTGCCTAGCAACCTGAAAGGAACTTTCAAGGAACCTATAGGAACCACAACCCGCATAGGCATTATACTACAATTATATGAAGGAAACCCCAAAACATATTGAAGTTATTTCGGCCCTACATTATATCCTTGTAATAGCCCTTATGGGCCCCGCTAACGGACCCCTAGACTAACAGTGCTTGTAATAATTTAGGCCGTATATTATCCTTGAAAGAGGCCGTAATGGAACACTTAAAGGAACACCTGGAAGACGCAGAGAGAGACCCGGGGCTCCCCGCGCTCGGAGGACGGCCGTTGCCATGGGGCCTGCGCGAGCGAGCTGAAGTTGTTCCATGTGCATTGAGACCCGACTCATATATCTACATCTACATGTTTCCTTGCATTGTACTATAGGTTACAAGCCAATGAAACATATAATATACATATACATATATACACATATATACACATACATGCTCAAAATATGCATGTATTCACATACGTAGGCACATTATTCGTCGTACACATCTTTTGCTTATGGATCCGGCCTAAGGGTCTCAATCTAGGGTTTAGGGATGGGTAGATCCAGGGAAAGGCACCCGCACAGCAACCCCTATTGCCTTGTTCGAACCCCCTTAAGAAACAGAGCCCTTGACTTACCTTGGGTTAGTAGAGAATGGAAGAATGGGGTACAATTATAGCCACTATTACTACCATTCTTCCATTCCCTACTCCCCAAAGGTAAGTTGAAGGAAGCCAGGCGCACCGAGATCAGCGAGGCCAAAGCTTCCGTGCGGCGGCACGATGCCTCGAGCAGCCGTTGGAGCGTTTCTTCAGGGTTCCTTTTAAGGGCTTCAGGGTACTACCCGGGTGACTGCAAGCGTTACAAACATGACGAATATGACTTTTAAGGGATCACACAAGGATTTTGGGTTTAACGTTCCGTCAAAGGCTACTTCAGGCTTACTACGCGGGCGACTACAAGCGTCACTTCAAGCATGACTGGGACCGTTACTATAATGGTTTAGAGGTTGAGGCCGATAGCGTTTACGCATTTAGGGTTAAGGGCCCTGTAAACAGCTTTAGAGTCTTTGAGGTTTGACGGTTTTCATGCTTCAAGACGTCTGGGTTGACCGGATGCACGGATGTTTGGGGCTCAGGCTGGACTTGAAACCTCAAAGCTTCACATGCAACGGCAAAACCGAGAAAACATCTTCTGCGGGTCCAAGCGGCCATTAAAGCTGGAAGTCTTGGTGTCGTCGACGGAGGGAAAGTATATCGTCCTTCGTTTCCGACAGCTGTGCTCGGAAACAAAGCGCATGCTGGAATTTAACTAAGCTCCAGATCCGAAACTGCAAAGACCCTAAAATACCCTCGACCCATGCCCTAAAACACTAAACTTGGACCGGAAACCTTTCAAGTGACCGTTATAGCAACCTTTCCTGTATGCCTTCCGGTATCCCGTCTAGTACCAGTAACCCCTAAATGGGCAGACCAAGATTCAGTGCATCTCCACTGAACTTGATGGTGTCTCCACGGTACGCATTGATAAGGTCTATCAGCGGTGTAAAGAAGGCCTCAGCCGCACGAGCTCGATGAGGCTTTCGCAGGGTTGATATAAGAGCTACCACAAGGCCTACTTTACGGCTTGTGAGCTCAGGGTTGAGCGTCCAAGGTTTTCAGTTTTAGCTGTTTAGGGCCTTTGGGGTTCAGGGTCCGGGGTCTAGGGTTTAGGGTGTTTAGGGCTTAGGGAGTAGCTGAGTGGGCTTCAGGGTTTCATGTTTTTGCTAGAGCCACGCGCGCGACGCTTGGCGTACTTGTAATGGGGTCCTAAGGCGGTGTGGTCTGGTTAGTTGAACTCTTCCGGATAAAACTGTTTACATTACCTCCAACCAGGGGTTTCATGTTTACTTTCGGGATTGGGGTTCCTGCTGGGAGAGCATACCCTGCACCCGATTTGTCTAAACCCAAAACCACTTGTCTAAACTCCAAGCGCAGAACCAGCCTTCCAACCCATCATCGTCATCATCATCACCATGGCAATAGTCATCAGCAGTCATATGCCGAGTCGGGGTGACAGATAGACTTATAGCTACCGGAACCTAAAACTCCAAAAACCTAAACCTCTATGGTCGTAGTCAAATTCACACCTCCACGTTCGGTGCTCTTTGAGGCCCGAGCTGTCAGGCACTGAGATAGCAACTCGGCACCTAAGCTCGAAAGGCAAACGGCTTCATCAAGTTTTGGTTGTAGAATCTTAGGGTTTCCAAACCCTAAACCCTAACCTTAACTGGGGATGCTTGATGGGTGCTCTGGACATGGCAGTAAAGAATGCGGCAAGTCCGCTGGAAGCCCTGAAGGACCCCAGCTCTACGGCTTCGGGCGTAGAAACAGGAAGCTTCTCCCGCGCAGGGCCGCAGACTTTATTGACAAACTTGTCTACGACTTCACAAACAGCCCGCAAACATCGCAAAGGCTTTGGCGGACCCCTTTTTAGAAACGATGACAGACGTCTGGTGCAAAGAGTTGCCCGGGTCCGTTTCTGCCATGTTGTGCGGTGTAGAGCTGAGCATCCCGCCGTTGCTCTTCTTCGCTAACTTCTCAGTGAGGGCTGTGAAGCCACTGGCATCAGAAAAAACGACACCTCAGCTCCCAGAGTTCGGGTGTCAGAAGACCGGAGACTGCCCGCATCAAGAAGCGCCTCCAGACCCCTTGTGGATCACAATCTGCTTCTCGTCGAGGTTCCCTTCAAAGAAGGCCTCTCGGGAAGATCAGTGGCTACTTGAAATATGCCTTGCCTGCTGAGCATCATTATCAATGTCATGGATGTTCAGTGGGTTCATAATTATCTAGATGCCTACCTGTTGATATTTCAATCTACTATGGCTTAGACTGTGTACTGCTCAGTATTCGAAAATATGATCTTTAACAACAGATTCTGAGAAACTTAGAATGGTGGTCGCCAAGAATACTTGACCCCCATATGGCCCATAATTATGATGTAATACAACCGGTCTGAATGGCATTCCCATGTATCAACAATACTAAGCCTGCACCCCACAGCCCTAAACCCTAAACCTAAACCAAAACCGTAGCCATACAACACTAAACCCCAGACCCTAACCCTGAACTTCAGACCCTGAACCCGAAGCCCTAAACCCGCTGTCCAACATTGTAACATAGCGGTCTTAATGATTAGAATAGGGTCTTGAGGTCATTATACTATACTTATAACAACGAACTCCCAAAATAATATTGATTGTTATTCAGGCCCCTACATTATATCCCTATACTAGCCCTTATAGTAGCCCTTTGTAGACCCCTCTAAAGGAACCCCATTCCAAGTTTGGGCCCCTACATTGACAGACCCAACCCGGCCCTTCTCTTCCGGAGGTCCCGCTTCCGAGGCCTTGCCTGCTGTAGGATGAAGGGCACAAAGGCCAGGGCTCCGTTCAGCGTCTGGGTGTTCTGATCCTGCAGAGGGGCGTAGGCTTTAGGGTGGGGTTTGGGGTGAATGGCAACTGGCGAACAGAGCTGTGAAGACCTCGCTTCCTGACACGGCTGCACTGATCGGAACACTAGGGCCATTGCGTTCAACCAGTTTTTGACACTGTCATCGAGCTTGTCAAGTGTGACGTTCGCGAGCCTTGGCATCGGGCTGCCAGGTTCAACAGCTTCCAAGCTTCAGAATAGCGTCTGATCCACTTCGTGGTGTTGTCATGGTTAGCAGTTGGCTGCAACACGGCATGCTCTTCGTCCCGTCTTGCTTGCAGCTGGCATTGTCTTGTTTGTGGTGTGTTTAATGATAGCTGCTAGAAGAAGAAGAAGTCTTCCTGAATGGTACGCACTGGTAGCTCACTGTCTTTTTTTTCCAAGACTTGCTCCTGCCGCTATTATTGTTCAAGCCCAGACCTCTGCTGAAGACAAGAACTTTAGTTGTTCAAAGACGTTGGGGTCATCACATTGTTGGTGTTCTTCGGGAAACCATTGGGAAGTACTACTGCCGGTGATCATGATAGTGATGCAGATGCAGTGTCAAGCACTAGTGCGAACATATAATAACTAGCAGCCGCGGCAGTAGCAGGCAGCAGTCGCAGTCACTTGAGCGGAGCAGTAGTAGTAGTAGTAGTAGTAGTAGTAGTAGTAGTAGTAGTAGTAGTAGTAGTAGTAGTAGTAGTAGTAGTAGAAGTAGAAGTAGTAGTAGTGATTGTTGTAATAGTAGCAGTGGAAGTAGTAGGACTGGTAGTAGTAGTAGTAGTAGTAGTAGTAGTAGTAGTAGTAGTAGTAGTAGTAGTAGTAGTAGTACTAGTAGTACTCGTAGTAGTAGTAGTAGTAGTAGTAGTAGTAGTAGCAGCAGTAGTAGTAGTAGTAGTCGTAAGAATAACCAGTGCTAATAATAGTAGTAGTAGTAATAATAAACAGTGGTAATAGTAGTAGTAGTAGTAGTAGTAGTAGTAGTAGTAGTAGTAGTAGTAGTAGTAGTAGAAGTAGTAGTAGTAGTAGTAGTAGTAGTAATAAACAGTGGCAATAATAGTACTAGTAGTAGTAGTAGTAGTAGTAGTAGTAGTAGTAGTAGTAGTAGTAGTAGTAATAGACAGTAGTAATAGTAGTAGTAGCAGTAGTAGTAGTAGTAGTAATACACAGTAGTAATAGTAGTAGTAGTCGTCGTCGTCGTAGTAGTAGTAGTAGTGATAGTAGCAGTAATAAACAGTAGTAATAGTAGTAGTAGTAGTAGTAGTAGTAGTAGTAGTAGTAGTAGTAGTAGTAGTCGTCGTCGTCGTCGTCGTCGTCGCAGTCATAGTCGTCGTCAGCGTAGTCGTAATCGTAGTCATGGTTGTCATGTTTGGGCACTGGCCAACAAAACGCAGATTGCATGTGCCCACGTCAGGAGCACCAGAAATACAGTCCGAGGAAGCCGCGTTTCGTTTTGCATGATCGCCTCGTCTGCTATTTGGCCTGACATGATGCACGACCAACATCCTAACTCATCCTATGCAGGCGTGTTCAGAGAGTCTCGCAGACGGACGCTGCAGCTAAATTCGTCTCTGCACCCGGGCAAGTGCAAGGCCAAAGGATTGGGCCTGGTAAGGCATCGTCTGCTGACATCCCGGCACCTGCAGCAAAGGGGCATCTCTGCGGTTCCAGTGGCTCAACCGAGGCGAGGAACGAGCTGAAGCGCCAAGAGAAGAGAAAAAAAAACAGGCAAGATGGCTGAGATTGCGAATCATCGCGGCATTAGCCCGCAGCAACCGCGACGTTGACAGACGCTCCACTACTGCGAGACTATGAAAGAAGGACCACTCTGTACTAGAGTTTGTCGACCACGCCGGGTATCACTGACACTATGCCGCCTGCAGCAAAAACAGATCTGATAGCACCTCAGTGATTAGCATCACAGAAAAGACTTGCTGCAACCAAAGTACCAGCACAACTTACAATGCTTCATAGTGGTTCACTCGGGAATCATATCCGGCGTCAGCAAGATGATAAAAATTGAAGCCCTGTACTGGTAAGTTAGAACGAAGGACATATGGCATGTGGGAATCTCGATATGGACCTCGGTGAGGAAAAGCCACGGCAGGAACATGTCAAGCGGCGATCTCACAGCACAGCGGCCTTCTGGTTCTTGTCTCGCCTAAACTGCCTAATTCCTAAAGGCTCTAAAGCCCGAAAGCTTCCCCGAGGCCGAAACCCGCAAGCTGAAATCCCTTCAACAGAACCGCCACGATCCTGAAGCCCGGAAGCCCTAAGAACCCTAAACACCATCTCGGGCCAACGAGGTGCGGCCTGTGTAGAAGGACAATGGAGGGGTCTTCGGCCTGGCTTCAATCAAGAGAAGCCCTGGTTTGCGGCGGAGGCTTCAGGGCTGAGGGTTTAAGGCAGTGTTGCTGTAAAAGGGCAATGGCGCTTTCTCCGCGCGCCCGGTCCAAAACCCAACCCTCTAGGGTTCAGGGCTTAAGGTTCGAGGGCTTAGACTTTGGGTTTACGGCCTTGGCTTGCAACTTTGGCTCTTGGGGTCTTGGCCTTCGGGTGCACGGCTGCAAACCCTAGAGTCTGAGGTCTAAACTCCAAGTCCAGATTCTGACGCCATTATAGTGGCCTGAATTTTCTGCCGAGTACAGACATCCAAAAAAGCTAGTTCAACCCCTGAAAAACGCTTGCATTCAAGCAGTAAGCCCTCCCTAAAGCCACGTTATAAAAGAAGCCTGGATGCTTAGGCCAGGGTTGTGGCGTCTATACTAGAACTATATTCGGCACCCCGCAAGGAACAATTTTGCTCATTATTCCGACCCTCATCACCAGTCTTCAACAGCATCAGTGCAATAATGGCAATGATCCAGTACTCACTCATAGTGAAAACAAGGATCGTCTCCGTCATCATCACTGCTGCCGTGTTTGTCGGGCACTTTGTCTTGAGGCTCAGGCTCGGTTGAAGGTGGCAAAGGTCTGACTGAAATGGGCCTGACAGATTCGATCGGACTGCGGCGGAAGTCCTAAGCTTAGTGGCCTGGTCCCTAAACCCGAGACCCCGTACCTGAAACACTTGAGGGCTCGACACCCTACGCCTGAACCACCAACGTCCCAGGGCCATGAAGATGTCTGAAGAGTTTTATACGGAGTGCAAGCAGGGCCCAGGATGCCACCATGCGGAAAGCTCACGAGCTGGAATCTTTTCAAATTCCCACCACGGCTTCACCACTTGCTACCGCACGGGTTGGGTTTCGCGATCTGGGTGTAGGGTTTATGGTCTTACTGGGTAGGGTTTAACAGGCAGCTGTTGCTGAACGGAGTTCAGAGTTTAGGACAGGATTTTGGACTTAGCAGCTCTGATAGTTATAAGCAAAAGTTAAGTGATGCTAGCCTTGCCGTATTGGCATATGTTATCGGTATTGCTGCCTTGGTTCTTCGGAACATTAGCCGGATTATCTAGCATGGTTGATATATGGCAGGAGTCCTACGAGAAGTCATATAAGGACTGTAGCATGGCCGAAGGCACGAGTGTTACTATTCATGAGTATTCCAGCGATGATTGCACTATGGTCATCATAGTGAGCACAGGCAGTCCTGCTAATGCTGTCATGTTTTTGACTATTGCTGCTTCTACTGCGACAATCATGACATCGATGGCAACAGAAAAAGAAAAAAAAACAATATTAAGAACGGAAGCCAAAAACTGCCTGATAGCGGAGCTGGAAGAAGCAGCCGTGGTTTGCCACCGCTGGCGAGGCTGCCCCTCCCCACCTCCACGCGGAGGGTGGAAGAAACGAATGGACCCTCTTTATCTAAAACCCTAAACAGTCGGATCCGTAGGAAAAGGACTCCGAAAGAAGTGAGTCATAATTTTTAGAGGCTCCCCGAAGGTGTTTGGGGTTGGAGTTCGAAATGCTTGAAGGGCCTAGGGCTCAACAAGCTCTTGAGTTTGAACCTTATCGTTGGGATGCTTTAGATTTCTCGTATCGCATTCGGCACTGTAGTGCTGGGAGTTCAGGTTTCCGGACACTTACGTACTTGCTGCCCACCTACCTCAGAAATCTTAAGGTCCCTCCCCATACACAAGGGTATGACGTTGTCCAAGTAAGAGCTCCGAACTTCGGGGGCCCTGGGCCCAGGGCCTAGTCTCAGGATCCTTGAGGACTGCGCCTTGTCGAGAGGACAATGTGGAAATGCCTCGGAACGCATCTTTTTGCGAGGCTTGGGCTACCTGTAGGGCCCGAGAAGTCAGGCTTATGGCGCAGGATTTGGGGGGTTAGGGCTCTGGGCTTGGTGACGCAAGTGCAACGAAAATGGATGCAGGCAAGCTGCAGCTTTGGCAAGTGTCAGGGTCAGTCTACAGCACAGCCACCATTCTGCTTGAGCCCGAGCAGAAATTGCAGAACATATGGGTCCGTGAAATAAGCCCCAACATAGTACCGCCTCTAACAATGCTGATCTGACTAGCCTTCCTCAAAAACACCCCAAATATACACTCACTCACGAACGAGCAGGAATTGCAGAACATATGGGCCCGTGAAACAAGCCCCAACATAGTACCGTCTCTAACAATGCTGCTCTGACTGGCCTTCTCAAAAAGCCCCCCAAATATGCACTCACTCACGAAAGCCCTGACATAAGCCGTACATCATGCAACGACCCCTTTAAGGTGTGTCAAATTTCGAGGAACCCACACCGAACGTGGATGAAAGCGAGGTCTCGGGCCAAGGAAGGCCCTATACCTTCCTACGAGTCTGCCAATCCTACAGCATTGGGTTAGGGCCATATAAGGGGGCAAGGCTTTATGGCTTTGGATTCAGGAGCAGGGCTTAGGCGCTTTAGGGCTGAGGGTCTTCGGGTTTAGTGCCTTGGGGCTACAGGATAGGCGGGTTTAGGGTTGTAGGGCTTAGGGTTTGTTTGGGTTTAGGGTTGATTTTTTCAAAGGTTCAGAACTGAGACGGGCAAATCAATCATCACATCCCACCAGGTGCTATAGCATCTAGAAATGCTACAACCCAAAACCCAGGTGTATCTCTACAGCAGCTAAACCCTTCCAAATCAAACTCGCAAGAACTCGGCACGCTCCGGCGAGGTCAATGGCACTGCCCAGAACCTGCTTGCGATTCAGAGCTGGCGTGAACTAGCTTCCTGCTTTATCTGGCCTTTTGAGGCAAGGGTGTAAG